GAATAATAAAGGGGAAAAATCATTAAAAAAAAAAAATATATATATATATATATATATATATAGGCCTATATAAAAATCAGAGATGGTGCAGAGGAAAATGGCATATATAGAATGAACCAAGAGTTAGTTAAATTGCCTTTAACTTTATTGATAATACACGACGAGACCTTTCCGCAAGTGAACGATTCAGTCAATAAACGACCATGTTATTTAATCAAATATCAATCAATCAATTGATTTATCTGTCAATCAATTAAAACACATGTTTACTATGTTGATAAACATAGTAAAGTGATTTATAATTGGATATTAACGTTCCGATATTTAGTTTAATCTGCTCCTGGTGGTGGTGGAAGACGATTAACCCAACTTCGTCGCCCACGTTGTAGCATAACATCATCATCATTCGCGACAACCTGTAGTATAAAACAAACACAATGATTGTATTCCAGGTAATAACTATACAGGTATTATTGTTATGATTATATTTTGAATGATTATTGTACAAAATTCATGTGATAATGTAATTGAAATGAAATGAAATTCACCTAAGAACAATTAGCTGAGTTACACATTCAACTAAAGAAAATAATAACATGAATAGGCTTATATAGATGTAAAAGCAATTTTGCATTTATTATACAATTTGTTTATATAATTTTATATAATTTTATTGTATAAAATTTAATGTAGAAAACAATGAAGAATAAATATGGGCACATAGGAAAATCAATTGTTCCCCCTTTCCACTTTTCACCAATATTCTGTAATTAAAACCCCACTTTTTTAAAGCGAGTGGAAAGAACAACAACAATTACGAATGACTATCGTGAATTTTGTCTGTTCACTTATGTTCTGTTCCAATTGTGGTACTATTTCCGAACCAAAACTGGGTAAAAAAAACAATTGTTTGTAAATTTCGTGACCATTCCATCGATTTTGTGGGTACAACGGTTACGGGAGGCTAAATGTATTGTAAAAACAATGTAGGCTACTGTATTCATACGTTCTTAAAATTGGAAGCATGTAAACCTACTAGGCCAACAGTTTTACAAACTCAAAAGTCCATAATTTCTACTATTTGTTTTTCATGGTTCGGAGTTACAAGCTAATCAGTAGATAATAAATAATTATTCTTATGAATGTTAGTTTACATGAAATAAGCGGGCATGATTATGATTACAGAAAAATTGAAAAACATTTTATGATGAGTTTCAGTTTTATTATATTCTATTTAGTTGTTCTTTATACTGGGTTTCCATCTATAAATGCGAGAGCTCCCGAGAAATCTGCTCCCCCTGCACCCCCACCAGGGCCCTATGCGGCCCCTGACCCCCAGCCAAGGCTTGGGCCGGCCCTGCGGCACAAGATTTAATTATTTTGCAATTCGTCCCTAGGGGACAATAAACTATAAGCATTGAAAATTTTAAAACTTCAAAATTATATCTCTAAATGATAAACTATACAATATCTCACTTTAAAATTCGTATCTTCTCTTTTATCGGCTCCATTATATTGAGCGGCTGAGATATGTACTTCACAAATTGTAATCAGAAGTAATAACATACAGAGAGATGCAAGAGGCTTCCTTCCGATATTTGTCATCTCTGTACGTGTGTTTGTTGTGCCGATATGTTCTAACTGGAAAGAAAACGAGAATAATTGACATAATACATTATTTCACTTTTGTAATTTCTTTCATTATACTCGAATTTTATCAATATATTTGATATAGTTACGATTTTCGTTTTGCATGTTTTTGAATCCACCACTCGGAAACGAGCGAGTGCCACTGATTCTAAAGATTCCTAATAAATGTCTAAATAGTTGTTAAAGATATACCACCATAACTTAATAGAATATGAAGGGAAGTACATATAAAGCGCTTAGAGATTTTAAGACGTGGAATAACAAGAGTATTATAATAATGGGCCTACTATTACTACTACTAATAATACTAATGATAGCTATGATAATATAATAATATTACATCAGTCGCCTTGGAGAGGTTTCAACGACAGCTTGAAAGTATGGTAAGCTATATTTTCATTTAGATCAATTGAGTTTGAGACCTTATCATTTTACACATCAAATTCACACCCGAATCTGGAAAAACGATATGGAAGGGGAAAAAACAGAACAAATCAATGGCTTTTTCCAGCTCCTGCTGTGAAAAGCCCATAATGTGAAACACGTTACTGTATTCGAATTTATGTTATAGTAATAATAAAAATAATATTTATAACTAAAAAAAACTGAATTAAAAACTGACCCGTTTAATCTTCGTTGAGGTATGATCTTTTCGTTGTTCTTGATTGGTGCACTGTAAGGCGATATGTTTTAACCTGGTCAGTTCCACCTTTTATACCATGCTCAATGAAGCCGAACAATAAGCTAACACGTGAAAAGGTTGATTTTAAATATTGATATGATTTAATATTATGGTAATCGTTAAATGGTGAAGCACTGACGCCTGTCAACCATTCTCATCTTTACATTTTAAGCACTTTTAGTTGTACGTGTGAGACAAAACAGCTAGGGCACAGGAAGAAACTTTTACTGATGAAAATGGTCAATACTACCTCAGCCCCACCATTTATGATTACAACACTTCTAAATCAGTGGCGTAACTAGAAGTCTAGAAAATGGCGGGGGCTGCTGATGGGGGCGCGAAGGTACGATACTCACAAAATAAAGTGATTTTTAACTACTTGCAAGTGATATTGGGGGGTGGGGCGCTAGCATGTTTTTTGAGGGGTGTGCCCCTTCCCCCGCACCCCGTGATACACCACATGTTATCAACAAAGCCCTTTTAAGTTAGGGTGCTAGAAATCGAGGATCAAGTGGTTATGGGGCCTCTTCGGGGCCCCTTGGGGTCGGGGTATATCATGTGACACCGGCATTATTTGTTATAATAAAAGGCTCAAATTATAGGTATTAAAATTATCTAAACACAGGTCTTTTGGTCGTACGTGCGAGATTAGAAAACAGCTGTTCGGCATTTAACCTTTAACCAAAATGATATTTATTGTTATGTAAATAGGCAAAAATTAATTAAAATTGATATTGAACAATAATTAGGCAATATTTATGCTGATGTAGATAGAGTATGCAAGTGTCGTATCCAGGAATTCGTAATATAGGAGGACCAGGAAGGGATTTTCACAGAGGATCGATTCACTCCTCTTACCTCTTACTCTCTATCCAACTCCAAATAGACGTGAAAAATGGCTTTCTTTCCTAGAAATCAAACTAAATCAATTAATGGGTTCACCCACACTCTCTTCATAGAAAGAATACATACACTGGTCACTAATTATTTCAGTTTGTGTTCATTTACTAACTAAGATACAGCAGGCTTAGTCCATATCCGCACATCTTGATAGAAACAGGGATCGGATTTTATAAAATATTTTAAAGAATAACAGGCAGATGTGTAATTGTTTCACTGAAAATCAGTGGCGACTGGTAAGTGCGCAGGTGACACGTCCCTTGAACACCTCGTCCCCAGTCTTCCCCCACCCCTCCCACACACTCCCACTCTCAGTGTACGCTCAAGTAGATAAAAATCACCTAATACAGTATCACATGATTTTGCAGACCTAGCGCCCTCACTTAATCAGCGAAGACTCCCTCTCCCCCATTTCGGGACTCCTAGATACACCACTGCAGATAGACATGTCTGGTTTGGGGACGTAAAGGCCGTGGTATTAAATGTAGGCTTTTATTCGCCTATAATGAAGATTAAAACAGTTGAGTTTTTATAAAAATTATTCTTAATTGTATCTAATTGTAATTGTATTCTTAATTGTAACATAATTGGCTTTATGATTATTTATATTATCATGTATGTCAATAGGATACACTAGAACCGATATGAAGGAGACATCTTCGGGACACCAATAATAATAATAATAATAATAATAATAATAATAATAATAATAATAATAATAATAATAATAATAATAATAATGATAATGATAATGATAATGATAATGATAATATTAATAATAATAATAATAATAATAATAATAATAATAATAATAATAATAATAATAATAATAATAATAATAAACAAGCATTTTTAAAGCACTCTATACAATAAAGTCTTTTAGAGGGCTACCTAATTGTGCATAGCTCAGTTCTCTGATAAAACGTGACACTTCATTTGTTTTTTAAAGGCATCAAGAGATAATACAATGATAGCACAGATTATTTATACTTTTATTGTTAAAGTTGAATTATAACTAATTTAAAAATAAAAATTTGCAATGCAAAAACAATTAATTTATGATATGAAATCAATAGAGTGTAATTAATACAACGAAAGTTGCATCAAGAGATAATACAACGATAACACAGATTATATATAATTTTATAATTAATTGTAATTAAAACAACGCAAGTTGTGTATGTTCCCACGGTTTGAGTTAAAGTTAATGGCCAACTATTCTTTTTTTTAAATACTATTGGACTATAAGTCAAGGTGCAGGCTGTACGGTATGGATTAGAATCCTATATGAAAACACAATGATGAAGTATGAAGTAACACATGCACTAGCCAGTACCAATGTATATTCTAATGATTGAGGATTAAAGTCATGGTTTATTGCTCTAAATGTGTCAAATATAAGTTTTAACGATTTTTTTTGGGGGGGGGGGAATTACTGTAGTTGTTTTGATACAATAAATGAAATAAGATAGTGTAATACATACTCCAAGTATCGAAATGCACGCCATCATGTCGGGATTCAATATTTCGACATAATTATGTCATCATCAGGAATGATGATATGAAATAAGTGTCCCGAAACGAAATAAGTGTCACGTTAATAGATGTTAAAATGTAATGTTTGGAACATTTGGCGCACTCAGAAACTGTCCCCATCCCCTTAGTAGGTGTTGGCCGTAGGGTTAAAAGATATAATATTTCTCCTCGTTTCACAAAAATGTGTCCCTTTTATAGGGGTGTCCGTAGCCTGGGTTGCAGGCCGCGAATTTATTTTTTTCCTGGACGTTTGAGGCATTGGTATTATTTAATTATTGTCATTGTCATGATAATTATTATATCTATATTACTGTGCTTATTAATACTGCACTTTACTCCATACGTCAAGTAGGCCTAAATACGTCTCGTATTTATATTTTGGTATGCGTGACTGAGATACATTAATTTTTTTGTAATTATAGCCTAATCATTATTCATTTCAAAAATAGGCCTAAGTGTATTTCAGAATTATAATAAATGGAGAGCTAAGAGTGTGGTGTTCAACACTCTTCATCCTCGCCATGTCGCTATCGCATCACATGTCATCAGCACTTACTGTATAGAAACCCACTCTTACAATAAGAAAAGTACAATAAATATTCATGATTTACTGCCGAATCAGGAAGGTGATATTTTGAATCTATAGCGCCACCAATCTCCACGGCTTCAAACGTCCAGGGAAAAAAAATCGCTTCCAGGCTCCAATTTGGGTTACTCACTCTTTATTATGCTTAGTGCGCGCCATACCTAATTATTTGGCGTCCCATACTAAATTTTTCCGCCTCTAAATTAACTTGCTCGTTGGTGGCGCATTCCAGAACAAAAATAAGGGACCTGATGCAAGTCTAGGGTGTCCCCTGAATTGGGGTGTCCTAATGTAATATTTGAACATTTGGCACACTCAGAAAGTTGTGTTCAATATGACATTTCTTCGTTTCACAAAAGTTCCCTCTTAAATTAGGTGTCCCTAGCCTGGGTTCGGGCCCTAATTATGGTTACTCACTCTTTATTGCGCTTAGTGCGCGCCATACCTAATTTAATTGTCGTCACAATTCGTCGTGGAGAAAAAAAAAATGTATTATAAAATCGATTTTGAAACCCCTAAATCCCCTGCCTCTTTAGAAAGCCCGACCACGCCCACTTTTCTCTCGTCGGGGAAGATAATCCTTGTGCTACCCTTGCATAGATGTTGTTCCCTAGCCTAGCCAGGAATATAAACAATCGCAGTATGTGGCGATGTGTTTTTATACCTCCATGGTATCAGCGAACGCCAAGGAGGTTTTCTTTTTTACGAGGATGATTTTGTTGACTGATGACTACAGTAATTCCCCCATAACTACAACATCAATGAGGTAGACATAATCACACCTCAACTCATGCGGTACTTTTGGGGGTTTTCGGGTTAAGTCCAAGCCCAACACTAGCACCGATAGGTGACTGCGTGTTCGTTAGTGGGCTTAGAAATTACCGTCAAACCTAAACTTAACTACAGCAAAATTGGAGGTTGAGCCACTAAAAAGTGATCTCGGTCCGAAGTAAACGTTATTCCTTGGAGTGGAGCTGCATTATCGTCGAAGTAAACGAGTTGACTGCACTCCTGAAGAGAGCCATGCCTGTTTGAAGACGAGCAGTTCTCAGCAGCGAGGGCTACACAGCAGTCAGGATCTGATTGTAAGCGAATAAATCTACTGAGAGACGTCCTAATATACTGCCTGAAATGCTTATCGAAGCATAATTTCTTGCATTCGTCAGCAGCAGCCATGGTGACTAATCGCGTCGTCATAATACAATCAACCAATCAGCATCGACTATTTATGGGATTTTGTTTACTTTGCTTATTATTGTCGATGTCGTAACGTCGTTAGCTTCCTGTATAGCTGCTATGGTCGGGGATATTATGGCATGCTTGAAGCAATAACCATAATAATAATAACCATAACCATTCATAATTATTGTTTTGCCTACATTACGACAATCCATGACAAATTTCATAGAAAACATAGGTGTGACGACTTTAAATTAGGAAATTTTCACACACTTAATTTTTTAATGTCATTCTGGGGACGGTTGCAGGATTTGTTATATATTTGATATATATAGCAGACACAATAAACTGCTACGATACTTTGACTTGTAGGAGACAGATATATTTGATTGTATTATGACGACCCGATTAGTCACCATGGTTGCTGCTGACGGATGCAAGATATTATGCTTCGATAAGCATTTCAGGGGATATATAAGGACGTCTCTCAGTCAGTAGATGTAATCGCTTACAATCAGGCATGACTCTCTTCAGGACATAGACTTAGCCAGCGAGCCGTGCATGAAAAATTTCCAAAATCATAGAATTTCACTTTCAAGAATAAGGATTTGAACATAAATTAGATGGTTACATTGCATACTCTTTGTTTCTTGCTTTATTGAAATTGGTTTTGGAAGCTGATATTAGAAAACAGCCTTACATGAAGTCATATTATAGTAACTCGTTGCCTATCATTCAAATAAGTAATAAAAAATCGCCATAATTCGTCAAATATCCGTGGCTTCCAGGGGCTACCGGGGGCCATGAGTGGCCTCTGGCCCCTAGCCAAATGAGACTCGATTCGCTCCACTAACCACCCCGTCGGGGCCTTTAGCCCCTCCGCCGGGCAGGTCCTGGCGACAACACTGGCGTTCACGGCAGATCACAACCAATCATGTATGACGTGCCGCCAGAGAGCTTAAATTAATCTTTTATAAGCTCGTACGATACTTTTCAGGCACTGTAATGTTTTATTGTTTTACCCGGGGTATTATCGGTGTGGCTGTTTTGGTAAAGAATGGTTGAGAAACTGTTGTGAAGTCTTTTATAGTATCATATTTTTCCTCTTTATACAAGTTCAATATTCAGTCCTGTAAAATATCTATAAGTCGTACGTGAGGCCATCACTGCGGTTGGCTTGGTCTTTTTCTTTATGTCGTTATTTATTGTTATTAATTAACAACATAAATATTATTTAAAATATTAATGATATCAACATTTATTTTATTATTTTATATCATATTTATTATCGAAATTAGTGTTATTGTTATTTATTTAATTTAATTATGCTACATTATGCTACGTTTTCATGAACCATGGTATTTGGGATAGTGTTAAAAATGTAATAGAGAGGGATATGTTCATTAATAATGAACACTTGAATATTACCAAACATTTGAATAAGCGTATTGATACCCTTTACTCTGTATTTTATGATGTTCCGATTGATTTAAATTTCGTTGATTATTTCGTCAATTAGGTGGAACCTAATTTCTCAATGGAGCCCGAATTTTCGTTTGTTGTTGTTGTGTACTGCCCTCTTCAGTTTGAGCTTCAGAATAATGTTTACAGTATGTCCACCGCCGGAATGTTGTTTTTGGGCATTTTGACTAGGCTAGCCCGGCCTAAGCTTGCGAAATGTAAGATTTATGATCTCGATTCTACTACCTAACATTATAACCTAGGCTAAGTTAGTGTAGAAACATTATTATTGAAATGCTCCTGAGCTAGGCCTAGTTAGGTCATCTATCTAGGCCAACAAGGCCGCTAACTAACCCTACTAAGCCTTAGGCATAATCCTCTTTAGAATTTGACTAGCGGCCTAAATCAAGCCCAAGTAGGCAGGCTAGACTAGAAACGTAGGCCTAAACCAGATGCGGGGCCTAGCTAGCATAGCTCGCTGGCCTAGTTTACTCTAACTTAAGGTAGAGTTGTAAAACCGTTGGAGCCCAGTGCAAACACATATTTATTTTAGGGGTAGTTTTACTGAGATATAAAAATTAATATAAATGGATGATACTACACAGAAAGCCTCCATCAATCCTTGACCTTGTTCAATGTTGATACTTCAGCCTATACACAGGTGAGTGTAAAGATTAGTTTTAACGGATTAGAATCCCCAACCATGCCGGCCAGTTGGTTGGTAGGTGTCAACTCCCAGGTTCAAATTCCAGCCCAGAGAGAAATTTTTTTTTATACATTTGCAGATTAATCCTCTTTTAACATTCAAGACTTATGTGTGAATTACTGCAAGACAACCTCTTTATTGTACCATGATAAAATATATGATTTAACAGTTTCCAGATATTAACTGCAGCAAAACTTCTCTATTTATTTTTTTCTTGGTCAGGAATGAAAATGATATGCTTTCTTTAATGCGAATCAGTCTCAATTGACGAGGAAGAATTATGGCATAAAAGCGGACTGTATCAATGTTATACTAACTAGGCCCATTGCAAGAAAGTATCAACATGGTTCAAACAATATATCATTTGAAGAAAGATTATAAAACATTCCAGCACCATAGCAACCACCCTAGTACAATGCTGCTGCCACCACACTATGGTTTCTATGGTAATCCATATCAACAGAAGAATAATCCATGAATGATGCAGCATCAGTGTTATAATGGTTGCTGTAGATACCTGTCACATGCCATGCATTTACATTCGCAGCAGTCTGAAGGTCAAGTGAACGCTATTGGATTTGACATTGATGAGAGCAATTCTGATGAGTTTTGAGATGGAGTTCAGTGATGAATTGCTTAACTTTTCTTTGCTGTTTCAGCAAAATTGAAAGAAGAAAGGTCACGTGAGTTATATCAAAATTTAGGCCTATATAATTTTACCTATTTTGATTTTCTCCTGAGTTTTTGAAACAGCGCCACCAATGGCTCACAACTTTGTGAACCATTGCAAATTTTGTTTTTCCAGACATAACTTCTTTTGTGCATTTCGAAACTTTGAGTATGTATTAAACTATCTTAATTTCTTTTGAGAACTGTAATTCGATAACCAAAAATACTGCAAGTTTTATGTGCCCATTTTTTTCCAAGACTACTGTATGCCTGTGTAACAGTCACAGAGCAGATAAATGCTGATAACTACATTGAACGAAATGCCTAGACCTTTTATTTCAAATTTAGTGGAAATGGTGTATAGTATACAAATAATGAATGTTTTGAGTGCAGTGGGGTAGAATATTTAATGACTGATTTAAAGCTGTAGATCACAGCAACTATTTGTTCATGTAGAATTGCGGAAATTCTGAGGTGATGCTGTTTATGCAGATAAGATGAAAGTGAAGTTACAAATAATAAGATTTCTTCCTTTATTATATAAATTCATTAAAAAAAATTGATTTTCTCCTCCACCTTGATGGTTTTAGCAAAATTATTTTACTAAATGAGAAAACAAATTTTTTTTTTCCACCCTCCTCTGATGATTATTAGTCTAATCTGAAATTAATTCACAAAACAAGTTATTAAACAAGTCTCGCCTTATACCTAAAATACTAAACATTTGAAAATTATATTATAGTTAGAATTAAAATGCTACAAGGCAAATGGCTTGGACAATAATTAGTCCAGTTAGCAGTAAAGCAGATATGAAATATATTTATGATATATGTCAAAACATTGTTAACTGATTAGGAGTAAGAAAAATTGAACAATGTAGACCTAAAGTTGAAAAAAATAAAATTTGAAATATCAATCATTTTTTTTTTTCGTTAAATTTCATCAGTATACATTGGTTTATTGAAAAGTTCATGTAATTCTTTCTCAGCCTTACTAACAAGAACTAAATCTTTTTCATATTGACTTTCCAAACACTTCTGTTTTGTATTAAATTGTGATAAAAAGTTCTTTGAGAAACAAAAGCCGTTCTACCAAGGTTTTTTTCCTTGGACTTTCTCATAACACGTTTTTCACAACAACATAAATTGTTTTTAGATCACATGTCATTAAAACTAATGGAGAAAGACCTCCATCACTGATATATAAAGATGAGGAATAGTTCTTAAAGGAAAAACAAATTGTCCCAGGATTATACTATTGACTTGATTTTCAACTTATGTTTTACAGCTAATTCAACCGAACACCCCTATTTATAAATGGAATGTGCCTAAAGTGCCAGTTGGATTTAAACTATCAGTGAAACGAGATGATATGACAGGCGTTACATTGAGTGGTAATAAAGTAAGTGAAACTGTATCCTATTGACAATAAAAGATCCTTGAAATAACAATTTTACTACAAGCTTGTCTGCCCCCCCCCTATAGGTAGGTGGCCATATCTTCTCTTAAATCTAATTTTTTCTTGCGTAATACCAGCTAGAATATGATGGCCTGTGGGGACATAGTTTATAAGAAAAATGCTTTCAATTTTGTGGAATGGAAACACACCCCCCCCCCCCACAACCACCACGAGCCAATTTAAGGTGACTGAGTGGGGATCGTCCCTTTTGGCCGGACCAATAATTGCTTCCGAAGCGCCTGGTATACGTTTGATTTTGTTGTTATTTTTGTTGTAGAGCAACATGTTGGTACAGTCGGCCAGAATGTTAGGAAGCAGTGGTGTTCAGCTTCAGGATGAGTAGTAAAATTGAGAGAGTGGATAGAAACATAAGAATACAGTGTGCTGGTAAGTGGAGAAATATTTAATTTTTTCATCCAATTGTGATGTAGGCTACTAGAGTGTTATCTTATAGCCATACTGTAGTTAATAATCTCAATTTTGTTTTACTAAATGTTATTTATTATAAAATTATTGTTTAAAATGTTCTTTTCTTTTTCCATTCTATTCACCATATAAGGCAATAAAATAATGCTGTTGAAAACATCCACTAATCCTAAATTAAAAATTGTACTACATATCTGGTTTATATCTTACAGGGTTTCACAGTTTTCCTTTATTTATTCTTGTGTATCATTAAAACATCAAAATTTACATAAGTCAAAAAACACAAAAAAATAAAAAGTTAAAACAATAAGAAAACAATTATGAATTATGTACCAAAAAAAAATTTACTTAAAAAAAGAAAATAAAATTTATCCAGTACCATAAAACTTCAATCTGATAGCATGGAAGTAGCCATGCTACCAGAATGCTGTCCAAGATTGGCAAGGTTGATAAATATTTACTTGGGATGTGTTAGAGTCAATTTTTATACAACTGATGAATGGTGTTGAATATATATAAATACAAACCATATAAAATAATGTTAGCTATGCTTCCCCTCTGGCGCACCACTGAACCTTTCCGTAGTGTCAGTCAAATTTGACCAATCAGAACAGGGCTAGGAATACGTGCGTGTCTAACAAGCATGCATGTTTTCCCCCACAAACGCACCTGTGTTTCCTTATGTTTAACTTTATCCAAGGGCACGGCTTAGCGGAAAGGCCAGAAGGAGTCTGCGATAGCATGTAGCAATTTCATGGAAACCAGACTTAACACTTAAGCACACAAGTTACAAGAGTTTGCCTCGTTGCCAACTCAGCAAAAACTCGTAGGACAGTACCTACTCGTAGCAGCTCTAAACTTGTGGGGCTAATTTTGAACATGCGAGCACACCGAAATGAGTACATGTACCAGCGCACCGAGTTGGCTCGTACTTAACTTGTATCTAATTTGGTACAAACTTGTAGTTAACTCAGTGCTCGGCATAAATTGTACGTAACTTGTAACCAACTCCATAAAGTCGTACCTCACGCGTAGCTAACACGTAAAAAGCTTCTATAGGTTCTTTGCAAAAGATCATGAGTTTCACAAGTTTTTAACTCGTAGAAATTGTGCGACTCTTAGGTGAAATCAACCTAGGTGGGAAAGAGGCTTTACTTACTAAACTTGATAAAAATTCTACTAGCATATTCAAAAGTTAAATTTGTTTTTATTCTTGTTCAACAATAAGTCTGTGTATTATGTGTCTTGTAATTGACTGCTGTAATCTTATTTAAGTAGATGATATTATTGTAATACTTGCAGTTATGTAATAGTGTAATTGTACTATCATAGTTAGATAATTCTTGTTCTTTATATTTTCCAGGAAACACAGGCACATGTTTATTGTGGATTTTCGAAGACAAGCATTCAGTAAGAGTTTGTTATTGTATGAAGCAGATAAACAATTGGATGTCCAGTCAGATTTGTTGGAAGCTTGGATAACTGTAGCTGTAAAGATGGTTGAGCAAAGAAATGCATTGTGGGAAATCAGGACTGATTAGTTTAAACCCTGGTAACTGAAGCTTAGCAACATCAGACTGGGATAAAGCGTGGAAGTCAAATTTTAACACATAGAAATGAAGATGAACTTTGAGAAATAGACTAATTTCTTTGAATTATGTAGTGTACGGTATACTGGTACTTGAAGCTATGGTGAACTCTGATGTATGGAGATGAAGCAGATAAATTGTGGAAAGTCTAAACCACAACAGACATTTTTTGCGCATTCATAAATGAATGATTATGAATTGAAGTACTGTTTGCCAAGTGAAATTTGTGATTTAGTAAGTAAAATAAGTGTTGACCTTTAAAAATGCTGAAATTTTTGACTGATTCTGGACCTAGTTAAAAATAGAATGTTGGCCCGATTCAGAGCTTAATTTAAAAGGCTGGTCCATTGTGAGTTAAATTTCTCGACTAAAGGCTTATAGATAAAATTCTGAATTTTAGTTGAAATGTTGATCCAATTCTGGTCTGTAGAGTAGTGTAAAACATTGGTCCAATTCTGGTGTAAATTGTTGGTCCTATCTTGGACTAAGTGTAAAATCCTGGACTGAGTACTATGCTGGACTTAGTTAAAATTCTGTTCTTAGTAGATATTCTGGACTTGGTACACATGTAAACGGTTGAGTCCTATTCTGGATATTAGTTAAATTAATGTAAATCGTTGAGTCCTATGCTGGACTTAGTTAAATTAATGTAAATCGTTGAGTCCTATTCTGGACTTAGTTAAATTAATCTAAATGGTTGAGTCCTATTCTGAACTTAGTGTAAAATATTGGTCCAGTTCTGGACTTAAATTTCTGGACTAATGGCTTATAGATAAAATTCTGAATTTTAGTTAAAATGTTGATCCAATTCTGGTCAGTAGAGTAGTGTAAATTATTGGTCCTTTTCTGGACTTTAGTGTAAAACATTGGTCCAATTCTGGACTTAGTGTAAATTGTTGGTCCTATTTTGAACTTAGTACTATGTTGGACTTAGTTGATATTCTGGACTTGGTATGGTACACATGTAAATGGTTGAGTCCTATTCTGGATTTTAGAATAAATTAATGTAAATCGTTGAGTCTTATGCTGGACTTAGTTAAATTAATGTAAATGTTTGAGTCCTATTCTGGACTTAGTTAAATTAATGTAAATGGTTGAATCCTATTCTGGACTTAGTTAAATTAATGTAAATGGTTGAGTCCTATTCTGAACTTAGTGTAAAATATTGGTCCAGTTCTGGACTTAGTGTAAATTATTGGTCCTATGTTGGACTTAGTGTAAATGCAAATGGTTGAGTCCTATTCTGAACTTAGTGTAAAATATTGGTCCTATGTTGGACTTTAATTGTGTAAATGGTATTCTGGACTTAGTGTAAATGGTTGAGTCCTATGGACTTAGTTAAATTAATGTAAATGGTTGAGTCCTATTCTGGACTTAGTTAAAATTCTGAACTTGAATAAAACTAATTGCAACACCATATTTATTGTACTACAACTCTTTTGTAGCGTCATGTATTTCAAACAACACATACAATCCAATAAATGATAACAAAACTTTTTTTGAAAATTTCGGCAGCATTTCGCGCATTAAGACAGTTGGGATTATCCAAGCGGAAGCGATCGCCTATCATAGGCGATCGGCTGCCGTGGAACCTACGCGCCACCCACCACCCTTGGCCCCGCTGAAAGATATATATGCCTCTCAGAAGTTGCTCTGGACTTGGTGTCAGTTTAGCAGTTTTCTTGAGTTTTGCAGTTTCAAGTTGATTGCAATGAATATTCATAATTTCTCTGCCTGGTAATGAGGACTGCTGATGTACTTGTACATGCAAATGATTTAACTGCAACAAGCAATCTGTAATTAAAAAACATTTTTTAAAAAAGAATATTAGATTTAACCAACAAATTTTTGGACTTATATTATTTTTATTACTTTTTAAATAATTGCTAAATAACATGTTTTTATTTATTTAAAAAAACTACATTTAATAACTTTATATAAATTCAACATCAATACAAGTTTGATAAAACCTGACTATAATATATCCCAAGGCAATGTTTGCTAATGTGCAGACCTTTCTTAGTGAGTTCACAGTAAACTTTCCTGAATGGCAATTTACACATTGTAATTTCAAACTCAAATATGAGATTGTAAATTAAGTGTGTATCACTTATGGTGATATTGCATGAATGGAAAAATAAGACAGGATTAAAATTTAATGCAAGATGAAATATTGTACAAAAACATAATTATTTAATAGTAACTAAGAGTAAAGAAAAAAGTATGTTTTACATTTGCTGAAGATTACTTACTGTACATGGTACAACAAATCATTTCATATATCAAATTATTTTATTATTATCAGGGGCAGATCCACAATCCACCCTAAAGGAAAATTTTTGTTTTCTTAACCCCCAGAAATAATCAGTTTGGGTAACCAATAATTTCTTTTTCTTTCTTTTTAGTTTCGTATTACAACTAATTAAATTATAATGATGGGTGGATGCTCATCAAAAATTACTACATGTATATCAAAGAAAATGCAACAATATATAATTTTACAATACAAATTACAAATTAACCATAGCTAAAAAATAACACTCGATACTAGGCCTACATCATAATCGAAAGAATTGGTTTGGCGCAGTTGGGACAGTTTGGTTTCTCAACCTTTGAAGTCAGGGTTTCAATCCCTCACTGTGTCTCCTTGAGCAAGGCATTGCTTCTTAGGTAATTTATGAGTACCTGGTGGGGTTAAATGCCAAAAAACGCTGATAACGGAATACTCCCCATGGGAGCTTGAGTTTGCGTTCCATAGGTGTTTAATCCAATGACTGGGGGTAATAATGAGAAGCGCGTAAAGGCCTTGCTGGCCTTGTGCTGTATAAAAGTCTAACATATTATTATTAATTTAAAAAAATGAAATATCTTTCCACTTACCAACATCTGTTATTCTTGTGTTGTTATCCACTTTCTCACATAGCAAAACATGATGCTTCTTAAGGTGTCATGTCAAGATGCCTGCTGTACCAACATAAAATCAAAAAAATTAAACAAGTGTTAAAATAATATATGAAGCTGAATTATGCAAATACGTTGGTTTGAATTGCAAGCAATTTGAAAAACCTATTATGAAAGATAACAAGTGTTTACGGTATTGATAATGTTAATCATTTACAATGGGGACACAGATTATGATTGCTTTAACATTCATTTTCAATAACAAATTTGAAAAATTAGAAAACTATGAATTTATAAATGACAAAATATATTAAATGGCCCTACATGGAGGACCTTAGCTTGTTACCAATTCAAATCATGAGTTAAATATTTTAATCATTGAATTAAAGATGGAATCTTCCATGTCCTTCCGCATTTTTCCCCATTAGCAGTATGTACCTCTTGTTTTTCAACATCAACTACGATAGGCTAATATTTTGTTAAAATGAGGGAATATGGTAGCATATACTGTAATGGGGAAAGTGAGCAGAGTAAAAAACCCCAGATTCTCCGATCCTAACCAACCAACTAGAAATTTTCTGAGTAAAATAATAATAATAATAATAATAATAATAATAATAATAATAATAATAATAATAATAATAATAATAGTAATGCAACATTTATATAGCACTACTTTAAGTAGCGTTTTAAGTGTTACACTGACTCTAGTATGCCTACAAAGTATGCTTGTTGAAAACAGTGCCGGTGCCAGAAATACCCCAATGACCAGGCCAATATCTAAAAATGGCCCATATTTACCTCAGCCCCACCATGGTTAGGGCTGAGGTAAGCAAATATTATTAGAATAACGTACTTTGCTCCATGGACTACTTTTCAAAACAATGACCATTTAGGAGTTTCAAAGGCTTTAATTAAATGATATTATAGATATCTAGAAAATACATGTAATTTTTTTTTGTCCCCAACGAATTGCAGTTTTATTCCCAATCGGGAGGGGAAGGGCATGCCAGGCCCCACTGATGAGCTCTTTCTCCCGCTGGTGAGGTACCCCTGCTGTAACTTTGGATAGCTCTGAATGTAGATGGTCTGGAGATATACAGTAGATGGTTTAAATACAATCTTTGCAGGAGCAAAGGCTGGCTTTGGGTGGGGAGGGGGAGGGGAGGGTGTGAAAATTGATAATGTGGAACTACTGTAATTGGTTGTCTAGAAAACTCAGATTGACTTTTTTAGAATAGAGAAAACTCATTGTATCTTTAAATTAATAGATCATACCATTATTTTTAGAAGTAAATTTTTACTGAAACTTTGAGGTACTGTACAAAGCGTTAAATAATACAGAAATTGTCACAGTCTGAGAGTGTTATTTCTGGCCATCCAGAGGTTCCTATTCTTAAAAAAATCTCATTTGGGGGGGGGGGAACCTTCTCAAACCCTTCCTCCATCTTGATCCTATGAGCTCAAGCCTGTCGGACAACTTATATTTTACCAGAGTACATGAGAAGCGCACACACAAGATGAGTGACCATTTATTGTTTTTTCACGGTAAATGAAGGAGCGTACAGTAGCTAGCCACCCTATTCATTCCCATCCCCCAACTAGATCTGCCACTGCAGATTACTTGAGATCTGAGGTGTGAGTTTTCTAGATCTGAGATTTCTAAACACCCAGAGCTAAATACCTTTTCCAATGAAGACTTAATCGTCAGTTTTAGCATTTTAACCCACCTAGTGGAACTAATTTGCCATCACTGGGGGAGGGGAGAGAGGGGAGGAAAGATATCCCCAGTCACACTCCTATGCCCATGATTTGTAAAAATAAATTATAACATGAATGAAATTCAATATTATACATGTCTAATTTGTTTACAACCTATTTTTAGAAGTACCATATATTAAATTATTATTTTAAAATATATTAAAATAGAGGGTGGCAATCAGTATTTTGTGTATAACTTGAGTTTTAATATAAAATACGAAGGCAGCGTTTCTCCCAAAGCCATCAATTTTACCAGTAAAAATAACTGACCTACCAGTAAAAATTGAGCGTTGGTAAAAAAAAAATCATTTATTAGGTCTAGGTAACCAAGACTGGCATTATTTCAATTAATGAACATCATTCCAGTCCAGGCTATGATTATATGTATTGTTTTTTGAAGCAATTAAACTCCACTTAACGAGGCAATACTACTACTCTAAATTGTTATGTGTTTTACGTTTGTAATGTATCAGTAAGGAGAAAAGTGCCAATCAAAAAAAGTGCCAATCAAAAAAACAAAAAAATATGGTTACCGGTACTATAAAATAAATATTCTTTAAATTTCTAGAATTACATTCATTAGTGTACCAAGAAAGCTTGGCTTTAATACAGTTGAACTTGCCTACAGTAAGTCGAATCCAAAATGCCATTGAAAAATTGTTTGACTATTAGATAAAACCTGTAAAATATGATCGACTTAGAAATTATTATTAGAGTTTTAGCAAAGTAAAGTATAATAGGCCAAAAAGTATTAAATGCAGAGAAAAGTGCAGACAACCAGGACAACTTTATAGTTGCTCAACATTTGAACTACGAAAACAAATTAAAACTATAAGAAATAAGATCGTGTTACCACCATCATACTGTAATAATTCAACCACTGAGAATTATATAATATATATTATATTATATAAATATAATAATAATATAGCATATAATATGCCTATATAAGACAAAATCTTACATTTTCAAGTTCAAATCGCCTAGCTAGGCCTATACCTTCGCCTATACCTTCTTACATTAATCTAAATGATGTTTTGTTTTGTAATTCTGAATTGACTTTTCGGCCTATGGTAAACCACCATTTAGTAATAAGCTAGGGTACTGTAGGCCTACAGTATTGCTAAGCTCCTGTATTGTGCGTGTATCACCTAGACTAGAAAGGGCACAGCCTGTGCAGGTGGGATAGTAAGCACTGGCCTCGCGGCTAGCCAGCCCTCAAAAGCCGCAATAAATTTAGTATCAGTCCACACTTACTACATACCCTTTGTACGACTAACCCCTATAGTCAGCAAAATCAGATTTGGTTTAACTAATTAAGCAATATTTTACACGTAGGCCTATAGTTACTTACATTTTTCAGGTCAATGTTCAGGGTAGAGGGTAGGGATCTGTGGTTCAGATACTTTCATGTGTTGTTGTTTACCTGCGAAGCGCCACCTATGGTTGTAGAAACAAGGCGCGCGTTCCTCCACGCTTAAATAACGGTACAAGAGCTAATAAATAGAAAGTTTATTTGTACAAAAAAAAATGTGACCTTTTTATTAATTTTGTGAACTATTTTACAACATAGCAAGGCCTTTTTCACGAATCGGTTGACATCTTGAAGTGATGACCAACACTGCGAATCAGCGGTGCGTAACCAACAGAAATAAGATAAGCTTTTGGGCTGATTTTCTGACATCATGTTATTTAAAAAATTATAACTCCATAACGGGGCTTCGTATCTAAAAATAGTTTCCAACAAAATGTTCTTACAAAACTAGTCTACACCCCTATATGATTTTAAAAAAAATTGAAAAATGTCTTTGACCTCTGAAATCAAGATGAAAAAAGAAAAGCCTATCTAAAGTGTATTAAAATAGGCCTATGCATTACAGTGCAATAGCATAGCACTTTCGTGTTGTTACTGTTCCAGGTACCGATAATATACAGATTTCTCTTATTATAAAGTACAACTTATGTTTTATAAAGAAGTATAGTAAATCATGTTTTTTAACACAGGAAACTCTCATTAAAACAATGCTAGTCCAGAGAATTACTAGTACTACTGCTGCACTGTAATGCATATACCTATTTTAATACACTACTTAGATAGGCTTTTCTTTTTCCATCTTAATTTCAGAGGTCATAAAAATTTTTCAATTAATTTTTCAATCATATAGTGGTGTAGACTAGTCTTTTACGAACATTTTGCTGGAAAAAGTTTTTGGATACGACGCCTCGTTAAATAACATGTCAGAAAATCAGCCCAAAAGCTTATCTTATTTCTGTTGGTTACGCACCACTGATTCGCAATGTTTGTCACCACTTCACGATGTCTACCCGATTCGTAAAAAAGGCTTAATTTAATAAAGTGTAAGGCCTAATATTATGTATATAATGACTTTAAACGATCTGGGGGTCGTAAATGGGCTTTAATTTCAATAGGCCGATAACAATTTGATAAATAAACAAATTCATGAAAATAGAATGCAGCATAAAGTGGCGTTAATGCCGTTATTTCTCAAGTAGGCCTTACTTCAATCATCCAATCATTTATAGCGGGGCATTTTACCAGGACTATGAAATATTTTCCGGCGGTAGGTGGCGGGGACTTAGCCAGGGATGTACGTTAAAACGATGCCCAGCATTGCCGGGAAGTAGCCGGAACATTCACATGCAAGTAACCGTTTCGGAAATTACATCCCCGGCTAAGTCCCCATGTATTAGGCTGGGTCGGGACTACAATTGACAAGTGCATCCATAGAAATACAAAAATTAGCCTTGAAAATTCAACTAGATCTTGCGGTGATGTAACAACGCTGTTGTAGTAGGAACGCCAAGCAGGTTTTACTTTCATACACTACGAGGATATTACCTAAATTGTTGGCTCGATGAACAGTAATTCCCCCATAACTACAACATCAATGAGGTAGACATAATCACACCTCAACTCATGCGGTACTTTTGGGGGTTTTCGGGTAAAGTCCAAGCCCAACACTAGCACCGAGTAGGTGACTGCGTATCCGTTTGTGGGCTCAGAAATTACCGTCAAACCTAAACTTAACTACAACAAAATTGGAGGTTGAGACACTAAAAAGTGATCTCGGTCCGAAGTAAACGTTGTTTTCATTGGTTTCGAAGTAAACGGGTTGACTGCACTCCTGAAGAGAACCATGCTTGTTTGAAGACGAGCAGGACTCGGCAAAGAGGGCTACGCAGCAGTCAGAGTCTGAATTGTAAGCGACTAAAACCACTAAGCAGACGTCCTTATATACCAGATTTTAAGTTTTATGCTTAAAGATAGGTGGTGCTATCTTTGAAACGACTCATTGTTGAGACCTGAAATTTTCACAGGTGATTCAGAAGTGCTTAATATACTCCCAAATTATATTATCTCAAAATCGACAAAAATGTCAGTCACGTTGTCTTGTCTCGAGACGACGAAATGTCAATTATAATAAAATTTGTTCTCACAAACACAAGATAATCTTGTTCCCACAAGATGTTGTTCGTATAGCACCTACAAGAGTGTATACTTAATGTTGTGATACCTGTCTCTTATACACATCTAGATGTGTATAAGAGACAGGTACTGTAGGCCTACAGTATTGCTAAGCTCCTGTATTGTGCGTGTATCACCTAGACTAGAAAGGGCACAGCCTGTGCAGGTGGGATAGCAAGCACTAGCCTCGCGGCTAGCGAGCCCTCAAAAGCCGCAATAAATTTAGTATCAGTCCACACTTACTACATACCCTTTGTACGACTAACCCCTATAGTCAGCAAAATCAGATTTGGTTTAACTAATTAAGCAATATTTTACACGTAGGGCTACAGTTACTTTTTTTCAGGTCAATGTTCAGGGTAGATGGTATGGATCTTAGTGGTTCAGATACTTTCATGTGTTGTTGTTTACCTGCGAAGCGCCACCTATGGTTGTAGAAACAAGGCGCCCGTTCCTCCACGCTTAAATAACGGTACAAGAGCTAATAAATAGAAAGTTTATTTGTACAAAAAAAAATGTGACCTTTTTATTAATTTTGTGAACTATTTTACAACATAGCAAGGCCTTTTTCACTTCAATTTTTTTTCAATCATAATAGGGGTGTAGACTAGTTTTGTAAGAACATTTTGCTGAAAACTATTTTTGGATACGAAGCCCCGTTATGGAGTCATAATTTTTTATATAACATGATGTCAGAAAATCAGCCCAAAAGCTTATCTTATTTCTGTTGGTTACGCACCGCTGATTCGCAATGTTGGTCATCACTTCAAGATGTCTACTGATTCGTAAAAAAGGCTTAATTTAACAAAGTGTAAGGCCTAATATTATGTATATAATGACTTTAAACGATCTGGGGGTCGTAAATGGGCTTTAATTTCAATAGGCCGATAACAATCTGATAAATAAACAAATTCATGAAAATAGAATGCAGCATAAAGTGGCGTTAATGCCGTTATTTCTCAAGTAGGCCTTACTTCAATCATCCAATCATTTATAGCGGGGCATTTTACCGGGACTATGAAATATTTTCCGGCGATAGGTGGCGGGGACTTAGCCAGGGATGTACGTTAAAACGATGCCCAGCAGGAACTTTCACATGCAAGTAACCGTTTCGGAAATTACATCCCCGGCTAAGTCCCCATGTATTAGTCTCGGGTCGGGGCTACAATTGACAAGTGCATCCATAGAAATACAAAAATTAGCCTTGAAAATTCAACTGGATCTTGCGGTGATGTAACAACGCTGTTGTAGTAGGAACGCCAAGCAGGTTTTACTTTCATACACTACGAGGATATTACCTAAATTGTTGGCTCGATGAACAGTAATTCCCCCATAACTACAACATCAATGAGGTAGACATAATCACACCTCAACTCATGCGGTACTTTTGGGGGTTTTCGGGTAAAGTCCAAGCCCAACACTAGCACCGAGTAGGTGACTGCGTATCCGTTTGTGGGCTCAGAAATTACCGTCAAACCTAAACTTAACTACAACAAAATTGGAGGTTGAGACACTAAAAAGTGATCTCGGTCCGAAGTAAACGTTGTTTTCATTGGTTTCGAAGTAAACGGGTTGACTGCACTCCTGAAGAGAACCATGCTTGTTTGAAGACGAGCAGGACTCGGCAAAGAGGGCTACGCAGCAGTCAGAGTCTGAATTGTAAGCGACTAAAACCACTAAGCAGACGTCCTTATATACAGCAGGAAATGCTTATCGAAGCATATTTTCTTGCATCTGTCAGCAGCAACCATTGCGACTAATCGCGTTGTCATAATAAGGCGTAATACAATCAACCAATCAGCATCGACTATTTAGGGGAATTTGTTTACTTTGCTTATTACTGTCGATGTCGTAACGTCTTTAGCTTCCCCTATGGCTTTTAAAACTGCTATGGTAATAAAGGGATATTATACAGGAAACAACCGATCATGACTTATTTGTTTAAAGTACATTACGAAAATCTATAAAAAAAAAATAATATAAAATAATATAATAGGTGTAACGCCAAATGAAAATAGGAAATTGCCAATCACTGTAGATTTAAAGTCATTTACACTTCTAGCACGAAGGGCTATTGAACAGCGTTTTGGTAAGAAATAATTTTAATGAAATAAACATAACAACATAACCTAGTTGAAAGCAAATGTTAATTTTTCATTCAAGATACCCTCCCAGCCATCCAATACAGGCAAGTTTATGTGACGCCAATGTTGTGATACTATTCAATTCAACTCAATCTTTATTGTCAAACACAGTAAAATTCCGGTTGTTTGTTCACGGATTAAAACGAAAAATATACTTATTGATAAAATCATAATAAAACGCACAACACATACATCATATCATAACTTGTTAAAATGTAAAGGTGAAGGTTAAAATTTTAAAAGTTAAAATGGTAAAAATTTGGCTAAAATAAATAACAATTTCAAGCAAAAAGGCATAAAAGCAGTAATGTGTATAAAATGAATTCAAAGTATAGAAAGACTTTTGCATAGACCAAACTATCTTTTCTCAATTGCATTAAATGGCCTCATAGCACTACGGAGAAATTAATTTCTTATCCTGTTGTCTTCAACCTGGGAAAAATCATACGACCAGTTTTGCTAAATGAAAGGTGCTGATAAGAGGGTGACTTTATATAAATATAGGTCTATTCCTTCAGACGTGACAACTTTTTTTTCATAAGGTATGGAAAGGTGGATTATCAAAAGTGATTTCTCATATTGATTGGAATGGATTGGATTTATTCGGTGTAAACACCAAGGATAGCCCACGAAAGTCTAGAAGAAGACTTATTTCCAGTGGGGTCCTTCTGGTGGTGATTGGGCAGTACATCGGGAGACAATCCCCTACTCTTTTCGTTCTTTAACGTGCACATGGGCCATAATGCACACGGGACCAATGGCTTAAACGTCTCATCCGAAAGACGGTGCGCTATTGTAACTTGTATTTCAGCCCTAGCTGAAACACAAGGAGCGGCAGCGATGGGAATTGAACCGGGGATCTAGAGATCTCCACGGTTCAGCGCACACACAGCGGCTACCACCAGATTAGCCGACTGAGATAAACTGCTCTCTCTAAGGAGATTTATTAGTATAGCTGGAGTCCATATTATTTGAAATGCCATATAATTCCCATTTTACAGTAGAACATCACATTTTGAGATTAAGTGGACAAATTTCCGCGAAAAGAGGAGAAACATATCTATTATCGCTATGCCAGCCTTATTAAGGTGACATAAACCCCCCACCCCCAATCAACGGATTTAAAATCCTATGATGAAAAGGCGTTCTCTCAGGAGTAGAGCGGCTAAACTTCTTATTTATTTATTTATTAATGTATGTATTACAACTACAGTCAGCTAAAAATAATAACGATTTATTTAATCTTTTAGACTACATTTAAACTTGTAATGTATCTCTCTCTCTCTCTCTGCTTCGGTTTTCCGGCGTAGACCGCTTTATGAATGTCAATCAACAATATTATATTATTACTTAATTGCTTAATAGTATTATATTATGATATCACTTCACCTTATTCACCATAATTTCTTCCCTGTGCGCGTATCCAAGACGCACATCCGAAACGCGCTTCCGAAACGCACATCCGAAACGCCCATCCGGGACGCGACACGCGTTTTATATGCTCCTCCTTGACGACGTCTTGAGATAGCTCTATGGATGAGACTGACTACCATCCTGACCATCATAACATTTCTTTTATTGCATTAAAATGTTGATTTTCTGTACTCTCTGAAACGTGTTGAAAACTTCAAATATTCCTTAATATATTACATTTAATTGGAATCGCAGGTACATCCTAATTTATCGGTATATTTGAGTCGAGCGTTTAAAGGCATACGCAATCGAAAATGCTAGTACTCAGTGTCAGTACCGGTATTAACGGTAATACCAGTTAAGTCCTACACGCTATGTAGATGAGAAAGTGTAGAATATTTGTGTGATAAATCACATAAGCATCGGCTTACGTGATTATGAGATTTTTAAATCAATATTTATGCTCCCTTGCCCGCGTGCCCAATCCCCTCCCCCACCCCCGGGATCCCGTAAGCTCATCGCACCTCCCCTGGTTAGGTAATCATGACGCCACCACCACTTGATCATTTTTAATTTGTGTGCACATCCACCTTCCATTTGTCTTTATTTTGATTGTTCAATTGAATTTACTATGTTTACGTGGTGGGTAATGGTTGTGGCAACAATTATGTTATGATTAAGAGACGCAAGCTGTGATTGGGCATTAATGACGTCATTTCAAATAAGCAGATCATGAATAATGCATATGACCTTAACAGATCGATTTACGATCAGTGACACAATGTAGGCCGAGTGAGCTGTATTGGAATTGATTCAAGTAAATAAAAGGCCCCTGCACACCACGTCTATAATTAGGCCAAGCTTGAAACGCTGTATAAAACCATAAGTTCAGCGAAGCGACGAGAAATTTTCGTTTTTTCCGAGTGTGACATCAATATTTTTCTATCTATTGTCGTTGGCATTATTCGAATTATCCAATCACACGCGCGGTGATTTGAAACTATAGAAACAAAAGTCATTTCAAGCTGCATCTAAAACATGATCGCAATGTACGCATATTTTATATTTCATTTAATATATCTAAACATAATAAAACACATAATAGACACAACAGGATTTAAAAAAAAGTGATTCGACGTTGCGCTCAGGAAGTAGGCCTATACCTACACATATGGCTGGGCAAATATAGGAAAGCCAAGGACTTCTAAATGTACATAGACCTTGGATGTTGAAACATGATAAAAAAAATCGGTTAAAAAATGAAAGATTTGTTCTTCCTTGTTATAAATCAAATTTTACAATAAGTCGATTCATACAATTTGCCAATCCGCAACTGAACTAGTCTATTCAATCTTCAATAAAGTTAACAAATGAAAAGTCAATCTACAGTATTTTTTTTTTGTTATAACGAACGGGACATTTTAGAGAACAATTATACGGTAACCAGACATACCTCAGTAACGTAATTGAATACAAACTACATTTAATATTTTCATTTATGCCTAAAATTAATTAACAAGAAAATACACCATTTAAAATTCTTTTAAAAAATATATTAAAATTAATTTTATTTTATGGGATGGAGAATGTGACAGTATTTCTCGGATGATTTACATTATTCTAATATTTTCCTCTTGAAAAGGGTTCTGAACAGTTTTTGTTAAATGTTATTAAGAGATGGTTATTGTATATATAGATGCTTAAATGTTCACAACAAACGCTTTGAATCTAGGCCTATCAAGTAATCAAGTAGCAATAACTAAAATTATATGGGGGAAAAATGACTTATATGTCGTTACAGATGGGAAAACCTTGAGATTTAGATTCAATGATCAAGAAGTATTTATCATTTTAAAAATGCCCCATCCGTAACGGCAAATATACATTTTCATTATTTAATATCAAATAAGTTAACAATATCCATCAAAACTGCAAAAAAGGTTAAATTAAATTTGAAAATGGAAAAAAACATGCAAAATTGCATTTGTGAATACGAAATTTTGCCCCTCTTGATATAATATGTTCGTTAAATGTTGAAAGTTAAGGAAGATCATGTGCGAGTGTGAAAAAGTTTCCCCAACATGGGATTCGAACCCGCGACCTTGTAAATATTCGTTGAAATGATTTTTGGCGATATTTAGAGTATTGGTTGTCCTTACAGTATTATATATATATATATATATACTCACAAAAAATTATATATATATATATATATATATATATATATATATATATATATGTATACGGTATATATATATGTATACGGTATATATATGAAATTATATATACCGTATAGGTATATAATTATACGGTATATATACAAATGCATAATAGCAACATATTTTGTATTTATTATATACGGGCGGTATATACTATTTTTATTAAATATATAATGATACAATATACAGTAAACTTTAAATTGGCCATCATTATATGGACCTACACACAATAGACGCCTATTACATGATTCAATAGCCATAGTTAAACATCAATCAATTTTAAAACACTTAAAATTGAATTTACTGTATATATTATTGTATTATTGTTATTATTACTAAAATATGCATAAATAGTATAATTATTTTGTTTTAATGTGTTATTTTTATTGGGAGTTGACAAGGTTAACAAAGTCCTACATTAGTTTAACAACGCGATCGGATCAAGGAGGTATATCCTCCTTGATCGGATCGAAAATGTCAAGCCAACTAAACAGGGGATATGGCTTTATGAAGATTATTATCAAATCATAAAAATAAATTATTTAAAAAAAGTAAAATATAATATATTTTCACAAGCAAAGTGCTTTCAAATAGTCAAATTTATCAACTTGGTGAATTTATATAGTTAGTAAACGTTTCACTCGTGAGTACATACAGTATCAGTTGAGTAACTCAATCAGTTTTGGTGTATTTTATTCAAATAATAGGGTCAATGAATTTTTTCGGAAAATAGAACGTTTGTAAACAACAATACAATAATATTGTTCCAAGTCTGGTTGCCTATTCGAATGTAATCACATATAAATATAATATTTTTTCGAACATTTTCTTGTTCTGCAACCGTTTTCAAGATGGCGTCTAAAATATTTCATGACCTCCCAGCTCAGCAGTCCTCCAAGGTACGGACAAGATGAAAACAATTACCCCACAGTTTTAAAACAATCAGTATTGTTTGGGATAATATAAAGAAAATAGGTATATTTAAAATTTAATACTTAAAATATCACACAAGTGGCTATAATAACGTTTTTAAAGCAACAGCATATCATCAAACTATCTTTATCGGAAGAAGGACGCGCCCTGTGTTATATGCGTGACGCAGTTCTCAGGTCATGGAAATACACATATCAATAATAAAACTCAAAAACCAAAATAATTTTCTAATTTTAGGGAACAAAAATTTACACAATTATTCAAGGTAGTTAGAGTAGCCTTTCTGCAAAATATCACTTTAGTTAGCCTGCAAATAAATGATAAATTCAAACAATTTCGATTGCATTCAACTAGATCGGCTGTCCTGCCACTCGGATACAGACGCTATTTTTTGTCAATAGATAAACTAGTGAGAACGGGTTTTCGGCAATTTATGACAAAATTCAACACAGATCACAATAAAATAACTTTCGAAAATGGGAATTGTACAACATTTGATTTCATCCTATCTTTGTCTGGACAGTTTAATTACTGAAAACATTAATTTTATCAGAAAAACTGTAGCATAATGTTTCAGGCAACATGGCGGCTGAGGTGATTTTGTGCTAGTTCGATGAAATTCATCCCTTACGTAAAGTTACTAAATTAGCCCAGGTAAATAAGGAAGCTAATATGATTAAAGCTAATATATTAAAGTTTGTTTTGACTATCTTCGTTAATAAAATGCGCCTGTCTATAAAAAGTTGTGATATTATGAACTTTGTATAACGGTTTTCATGATATCGACATCACTTTGAATTTCTTAATATTCCGAAAAAACTGCGAAATATTTTAAAGAACTGACTACCCTGTTTGAAAATTTATTTATTCATGTACAAATTGAGGTACTTAACTTATGTGTCTCATCTGTAAGAATAGAGCCACGAAGATGTATTTTCAAGCATACAAGCACAAACAGGAGAAAAGTCGCCATTTTTAAGAACAGTGCTCAAGGTTTGTTATTGTGCTTCATATCACGTCCGCAATGAGTGTATATCAGTAGCGCGTCACCTAGCGGCTGAACACTCAAAATTATATCCGCTGTACTGTGAAGACGTCAGTTGGTATCAACAAACATTCTTGAAATAGTAATAATAATGGCAGAACAAGAAGCTAAAAAAGTAACTAAACCAGCAGTGGTTAAGAAGAAGAAGCCATCAAAGCCTAAGACTCCTGCTGATCATCCAACTTATAATGAGATGATTCGTGCGGCAATTGTTGGTCTGGGTGACCGGAAAGGATCGTCGAGACAAGCTATTCAAAAGTATGTCTTTGCAAACTACAAAGTTGGAGATCCTCAGAAAGCAAGAGTTCATATCAAATTGGGACTTGTTCGTATGGAAAAGTCAGGAGTATTGCAACACACTAAAGGCAGAGGAGCATCCGGTAGCTTCAAACTTGGAGACAGAGCTAAGGCGGCCAAGCCTAAGGCAAAGAAGCCAGCTGCCAAGAAGAAGCCAGCAGCTAAGAAACCTGCTGCGAAAAAAGCAGCCAAGAAGTCACCCAAAAAGGCTGCAAAGAAATCCGCCGCAAAGAAATCTCCTGCAAAGAAAGCGAAAGCAGAGAAGAAAGCATCAAAACCAAAGAAGGCCAAGTCGCCCGCCAAGAAGAAAGCAGCAAAAAAAGCTAAATCACCCAGCAAGAAAAAGTCTGCAAAGAAGCCCAGCAAGAAAGCAGCAAAAAAGTAACGTCTGAAAATGACACTTGGACTTAAAATGACAGGGATTTTAAAGTGAACATTCAATTTTGCTTGACACCAATTGCGATGTAAATAGGATTTTTGAGAAGTGTATATATTTTCTATGAAGGAAAATTATTTCGGATCACTATGATTTCTTTGACATCAAATGACATTAGTCTGTTGGTGAATGCCCAACACTGAAAGATTGCTGATTTGGACTTGTAGTTTAAAAAAAGAACATACACTTATTTATTTGTATATGCTACGACATTCTGAAAGAATTCGTGTTTTAAAGTCTTAAAAGAACCTGATAAAAATCGAATAAATAAATAATTACCAAATGATGCCAAAACGTTGTAGATTTATTTGTTTAGTTTGTCTCCTCTGTTGGTGTGATGAATGAGTGAATAAGGTTGATGTGTGTATGGTGTGCCAGGCTCCAACCACCGGATGGGAATCTTCCATTAGCTTGATCTTTAGAGCATGCGCAGACACAATGCAGAAGTTCGAATCCAACGAAGCCAATACTACATTCCATCTAGCTACCGGTCTATTTCTCACAGTTAATTTTTAATTTAAGCGATAACATAAGGCCTAATTTCTGGCAGACGAACATATCTCATACAGTTAATAAAATTAATGGTAACAAAGAAAGCTAATGAGAGTGCCATGTCAATGCAAGGCATCATAAAAAAAAATACAAAAACATTCAAAATAATAGTGGTGGGCGGAAATTCAGAAATCAATACCAATAATTAATCCTGTTTGAGTCTACTCCCCATCTCCATATTATACACGTAGCCCTGTCATCATATCGACTACAACTGTTAATCTAGGCCTATTATATATTTTTTCGTCAAGGACCATTACAGTACAAATAGAGACGCGATATTATTGATTACTGTATTGTATTCAGTACGTATTCCAATCGTTTTAATACCTGGCCTGTGTTTTCTAGGGCTGAGTTTGAGAAGATGTTTGGACGACTTTTGTATGTCGGGCGTATACACTTTTTATGGTCCTGATATAAGGTTTCGTGTTTGTAGGGCATGCAGTCCTCTACACGTTCTGATTGGTCAATTATTGTCTGATTGACACTCTAGAAAAGACGAAATTTGAATAGTCAGGAGGAACTCATCAATGAAACATCAATCAATTCTTCGTTATTTATGATGAGATTCAAGAATATAACAGTAATTTACAATGTTATGGTCGATAAAAACAAACTGGTTGGAAATCAAACGGAAACAATACATGTATGATAATGATAACTTAAATAACAACAATAATAATGTTTTAATTTCTATTGCGCAGATTTCATTTAAATATATTAAAATGCACATTACAATATAATATACACGAATACAAATTTACTATATAAAGGAGTTATGGAAAGCTAAAGTTCAGGGAAGCTAAAATTCAAGAGCTTATTAATTAAAAGTCGATCATATTGCATCCCAATTCAAATTTGCAATAAACATCAACTTATGAACAATAGTAATATCAGCTTTAAATGTTCAATGTTTAATAATGTTTATATAATAATACGGAATACAAAACTTCGGCAGCAGCAGCAGCAACAAAAACAACAACAACAACAATAATAATAATAATAATAATAATAATAATAATAATAATAATAATACAGTATTATTAATAATAATAATAATAATAATAATAATAATAATAATCCTATCATACAGTTGTTTTATATCATCATCATTATCATCACCACCATCATCATCCTCATCACATCATCCTCATCATCATCATCATCCTCATCATCATCATCATCATCATCATCCTCGTCATCATCATCATCACCATCATTATTTTACTATATTCTTTGTGGGAATATCCAGTAACATAGTAGGATCAACCGAAGTCACGCCTGCCGACGATATCATATCGCACTGTGCGCTAGTGAATTCTTGTGCTTGTTACGTCATTGATAAAATAGGCATCGTAAATTATTGATACCTGTGACCTTATCAATTTTGAATAGGACTGGCATCAGTTGCGTGTAGGCCACAATCGAGGTCGGCACCAGAATGGAGGGGGTGGGGGGAATGTGAAATGGAATACAATTTCCGTAAATTCGACTGAATAATTATATATATATATACTGTATATATATAACTTCGTACGTATCAAATTTCGAATGATCGGAAATCATTTCAGATATACTATTTGTGTTTGAGTTGAACTACAAAACACGAACATAAAATTCTACTACAGCTTATTTGAATTTACTTAATCTCTCGGTACACACTCTATCACGTTTTATGTAAAAATATACGTGGTTTGCGCCTATAATATTATGGGCAGTGTGATGTGACGTCATCATACTATAAACGGTGTGATACGAACTCTTTATGCCCACTCAGGGCCGCCAAGAGGGGAAACTGTAACAGGGGCAAGCATTGGTGTATGCCCTAGTTACGAGCGCGAAGCGCAGTCCATCAGGAGGCGGGGGGGGGGGGTATTAAGGAGGCGGGGGGGGGGGGGTATTAGAGGACCATTGCCATTATTGAGGGCCCATGATAGTAATTACAGTATTATTTTTTTTTAAATTATTTTTGATAAAAATATGGAAAAAAATCTACCTGCAATTTCTATGAGCCCCTGGTAAGCTTTGGCCGGGGGATATTTCCCCCTGCCTCCCGCACGCACTTAAGTTCCTTCGTTAATAAAACGGTTTTTTTTTTTCTTCTTTTTTCCCCTTTTTTTTAATAACTTCATATAAATCTTTACCGGTATCTTCAAATAAGTAGAAACATTTCCTGTAATTATTATTTTGAGTAACTGCTTTGTCAAAATGTTGTGACTCAATTCCGCGAATTATCTATCAAGATAGCCCATATTCTTGCTCCTGATATAGAATTCTGCTTAGAGCGGGCACATGTGTCTATCGATTACTGTAAAATTTCAGAGAATTAGATTATTAATGACCGTTTAAAAACTGTCGAGATGAGCTAGTTTTTTTTAGGTGTAATAGCATATCGACTTTTTCATACTCAACCTAGCCTTGGTTTGTTTCCAAAGAAAGTAAGGTGGTTTATTCTTCACGAATTATACTAGAGTGTTGGTGTTTTCGTCATCTTAAGTTATATGCTATATGTCAGTAGAACTTTTAAAACAATTTCAAAAAATGTGATTATATTTAGAAATATTTCAAAATTAAATTTGCAGTGACGGATCCAGGAATTTGAAATAGAGGGGGCCCAGAAGGGACACTGACAATTGGAGGGTCTATCCAACTCAGCCCCAGCACCATGGTTAGAGCTGAGGTAAGACAATTTACGATCAGAGCACCTCTAGATGGCCGGAAATGGCCTCAGAATTCGAATAGGCCTGTAGGCCCTAATTTTTTTTTTTTCTCAATTTATTTACAATTTTGAAAAATTTATGGCTGGTCCCCCTCCTTGAATCCGCCACTGATTTAAGAAGTAGCTTTTATTATTTCAATTTCAAGCTTTGTTTTTACGTTTGATTTCAACCTATTGTAAAATAATAAGGTCCAAAATAATGTTTTGCCCTGTTCATTGATTGAATAAATTTGTGTTGTTTGAATAATAGCCTCGGTAAAATAACATGGAAACAGATAACGACTCTTTAAATTGGATATTAAGCCCCTGGTCGGTACGCACCTAAACAAAACATTACGTGATTGGAACCTTGTTTTCTCGTTTCTATGACCAATTAAAATCTGAAATATGATAATACGAGACCCTTGAGTATTGTTGCTAAGGGTCGCACACAAAACCAAAAATGAGAGAGTAAATATGTGTAAAGACATGCGCATTGTCCTACTTATTGAATAATAGGTTCTGAGTTGCTAACGTATACATATGTCTATGTTTTAAACAATCACCTATTAATAAGAAAATAATTACTTTTAATTTTGTTTTTTTATATACCTTTAAAAATTCAATTTTAAAAAACACTTTACTTTATATTTGAGTAGAAACTTTGTTAACTTTGATATTACTGGTACAAGGCAAGTTTACTGTACTGTTTTTTTTTTAAATTATGTTTGATATCGTAGTGTATTACATTAATTTTTTGTTAACTTCTTATTCACACTTTATCTTTATTTGATTTAAATACCGTATGTGAATTTATTTTGGTCTATTATAAGAGAAGCCAATACTTTGCTTATGTTTTAACAATTGTTTTAATATTATATTATAGGTTATGCTTTAGAACAATTATTTATATAGGAAAAATGAAATTACTATAAAGTTTCTATTTATTTATTTGGCATTTGTTTTGTATCTTTAAAATTAAATTATAAAAAAAAATTTATATTTTATTGAATTGAAAATTTGATAAATTTTTCAGTATGTTCAAATAAAAAAAAGGGGAAAAAAGTATTTATCAAATAAAATAAACAGCAGTTAACAACACAGTAGCGTGATATTAATTTATTATACAATAAAAGTCCTGACATAAAACTTACAAACCTTCTTTTCTATTTAAGATTTCAAACTGTTTACATTTTTTTTTTACATTTTATGATCCAAATAAAAGGTTCTATCGAAAACCTAAAATATTAGCCTCCAGTCTGTTACAACGATTGGTTGCACCATGGCGGTAAAATGAAATACCTCCCTGGTTCAACGTTTATTGCAAATTGTTTACTTCATCTACACACTTTTCAGATGCCCTCACTAAAAATTTACAGAGCAATGCTTCACTAAAAACTACAGAGCACAAATGCTACCAAAAATATTAGGCTAAATATTAAAATATATTTATGAAGTTTGAGCACCTCTGTCAGCGTGTACAAAATATACCTCATTAACTGAGAATAAAATAATGAATCGACTCACATTTGTTGAAATAGGAACGTGGCACAGCACATGTTGTTCGTTTGGCAACTATTGTCTGCATACTATTAAAATAGATCACAAAGCCCTTAGCTTATTTATGAACTGTGAAGTCATTAACACACTTACACCATCAGTGGTATATCTAGGGGATGCACAGAGGGAATCGCACCCTCCTCCCAAAATACACAGACCCCCAGCCACCCCACAAAAAGGTCATGGTTTAGTGTAGTATACAAACACAACAGAACAGATGAGGACAGTACACCATACCAGGAACAAGTGATCAAAATGAATGTCTAATGACCCCATTTCAAAAGCTAACGACTTTTCATGTTGTACATGAACAACGTTCCAGGTCATTAACTAAAAACGTTTTATACAAACACATGAACCATTAACTACTGATCCTATGCCATATGCTAATGAGCCCACATCATAAAATAATGAACTCCATGACATAAAATAATGACTGCATGTCATACACTAATGACACCATGACAAGCCAATGACTTCACATCATAAAATAATGACCCCCGCAACATAAACTAATAACCCAATGTCATAAACTAATGACTCTATGGCATAAACTAATGACCCTATGGCATAAAATAATTATGAGCATAATAATACTCATGAGTTTTTGTCATAATCTTAGGTATGCAATCATCTCCTAAGTAAAACAGCATTAGTGCACATGCCATAGCTAAACATACATGTTGCCTGCTTAAAATACCAATGTTGCATCATAGAAAATTTGGCCATACTGTTCCAATAAACTGAATTTAGTCCTGGCAGTAGCACAATAACTTTTCTCTACTCTACTCAACTGTATGTCTCCAGCATTAAATCAAATTATTTTAGTAATACTTAATGAAAATAAATATTATTGTTGAAAACAGCAAAAAAGTGCAATGTTTGCAAATTGAATACTAATACAATATTGCCTTAAAGTATGAATTTTACAATTAACTTGACAAAAAAATCTTCTAAATGCCCATATATAGTCATGATGTGGCTATATATGGTCATGATGTGATGTCAATATCATGATCCTATTTTGGGCTTGTCACACAATTTTGTGAAATAAAATATTATAGTCTGAAAATATCTGCAGAGAACTCCACTCATCAATTTACATGTTAACTATAATGACTCAGTTTGACAAAGATGTTCTGTTTGACACTATCACACAAAAAGAAATAAGGAAACTCAATATAAACAATTAAAACTAAATTGAAAATATTTAAATTAATTATCACTCCAATTAGAAAAAATAAAATTAGTTAAAATAAAAACTATAGAAATAACTGAAAAAAATAGAACATATTAGCATTCTGTGTTTATCTAATTATAATAATGTTAATTGAAATTAATTCATATACAAAATTCACATCCAGCAGAACTGCTTCTTCATAAGTCATTCATTAGATATAAAACTAATAATAGTTAATATGTAATAAAACAATGTAGTGGAGCTGTGTTTTGGTGGTTTACAGATGTTTGCTTCCCAGTTCTCAAACTCCTTGGTCTTGTGTTGAAGCACTGAACAAAATCAAGACATTTTTCCCCTCACAAGTAAAAACAGCTTGCATTGAAATTTCTTTTTGGTCAAAGCAACCACGCTTCAACCATAAAAATACTGTCCAAACAGCCTGCGTAATGTTCTCCTTTGTCAAATTATTCAAGCCATATGGTAAGTTTAACTGTGCGGGTATTCCAAGGCAAAACAACGTTATTTAACAAAAAAACGTTGTTTTTCCATGGGACGGCCCCATGTGATCACTGACCAGGATGAATGACCAGGGCAAAAAAGTCCAATGTAAACATCTTTCTGAGAGGGTACATGTGCATCGCCTAACTTTTCGCAGAATGTGTCCATGATTAGATTTAACCCCAGTCCAGGTAAAAAATCTCTGTACTTAAAAAGCTACGTTCACATCAAGCCCAGATTCCGGACAAAAAATCGTGAGTTGTTACGTTTTTATGAACGCTGCGTTCACATCCCACACAGAACACTGTTATCTGTATGCGTTTGATTGGTTCAAATCAACCAAGCTTGTTGCTGATTGGTTTAACAAAAAAAAACGTATGATTTCACGATACAGATTTATCGTTACAGATCAGAAGTCCAGATTGGAAATCATACGAATTTGATGTGAACGACCCTATTCTCTACCACTCAACCCATTTTTCATGATGCTTTGTCCGGGCACCAGACCGGATCCGGGTTTGGTGTGAACGTAGCTTTAATCCAAATGTGAACAGTAGTACATTGGACAAAGGTCTTAATCAAAATTATCCAATGCAAACATGCCTTAAGCCCAATATCAGACTTAGGTTTTATAACGCAATGAGAACACTGACATGTAACTGAATGGGATCCAAGTTTAGAAAATAAATAAAATAATAAAAATTCCTAATTCATATACATTTAAATCATCATCATTTATAGTGGTCTTGTGGCTAATTTTTTTGTGATAAAATGCTGAATATAATAGTTCGCTACTGGAATATTCAAGTACAGCCTCCGTGCAAATTGGTCCCACGTTCAAGTACAATATTAAGCGCGAAATTGCTCTTTGATATATTTAGCAAAAATATTATCAAACATTTTTTTTTTTTTACCACCAACTTGATTAAAATTATGTCCACATTTTTCCTCAACATTTCAAAAAAATATTTTCACAAATATCAATATTTTTTTCCTCAAATTTCATAAAAATATACATATGCCAAAATAATGCTATATAACAATTATGGTTTTATTGTTTGTGCATCCAGTCAGCCACCCGTCCATCCATCCATGCAGCATATTATTCATGGTTGACCAGCGTATTATATTTTTATACTCTGCATAGCATCACAGATATGTATTTCCGACAAGACCAAGCATGAGACAAGCATTTACTTGAAAGTCCTTTTATTGCCAAACCTATAAAGAAAAATAAATTGACGGTAAATATCTGCATATTATTTGCTAACTTAAGATTTAGGATAAAGGAGGTTATTTCAAAACAATACTCAGTGATTCAAAATTTAAATAGTGTCTGTGTGAATGCGTCACTTGGTAAGATTAGCTCATATGATTTAGCACAAATCTGTGTGCATGTTTTTTTTATCTAGTCTTTAATTCATTATGTGAATACGACAGTGATCTTGGTAGGAATATCTCGGGGAAAGTCTTTGTAAATTTTAGCACTCTTCTTTGAGTTTGTTGAGTGAACTGGGTATACTGACTAGTTTACACTGAAGGACCGATGATGGTGAATAATAACAACAATAGTAGACTTATATAGCGCACCATGATGAGCCCTCTATGTGCTTCCCATTATCATTAACCCGGTCATTAGATTAAACACGTATGGAACACAAACTCAGGTCCCCGGAGAAGTATTCCATAACGTTGCAGCAGCTAATCAATATATTTTGGCACTTAAGTTATCGGCTTTTTTGCATGAAGCGCTATGTAAGACCGACATATTATTATTATTATTATTTAACCCTACCAAGTACCGACTTATACTCCTGGGTGGAGAGAAGCAATGCTGATAAAGTGCCTTGCTCAAGGACACAAGTAGAATGCGCAGCAATGGATTGAAACCTCGACCTCGAGGTTCGGAAACCAAATTGTTCCTGCTTGCACTAAACCACAGAAATTGTCAAGTTGAAGAAAATGCTTATGACGTCACACAGTTATTGCCAATACCTACCTTAACGGTATTATCTACAGCACCAGAGAAAAGACGCCCTCTAGACACAGCAAGACATGTGACACTACCTTGGTGACGAATCAGAGCCTGCTGGCATGTTTTATTCTCCATGTTCCATACCTATATATAAAATAAATCAATGTCTCTTAATGAATTATATGATAATGGCAATGAGAGGGGTATGGTTTGTGCAGTAAAGATGGAGATAGTTGTTGAAAAACTTACATTAAACTCCATTTGACTTACCCTCAGTGATCGATCATAAGAAGCACTAAAGACACGCGTACTGCCTGGCGCGCTGATAACTGCAAGTGCGTACACTGTACCGACGTGTCCTGTTAAAGTTTCCACTTGTTCGTGAGATTTTCGGTCCCATACGTGAATACAGTTTTCGTAGGTTCCCGCAATGATGTGCTCGTTCGTGAGTGTGATAGAATACACGGAACCTCCTGAGGTTTCCAAGACATTTGTCACTTCCAAACTACTCAAGTTCCAAATCTGAAATGAAAGTCATGGGAATATGTCACAAATTATGTCCTGTGGTTGCTGTGGGAAGCCATTTGATACAGGGTGCTCCTAGTTTACCTAATAGACCGTTCTGGAGTGCCAATCAAACTTAAAAACTGACCAATGAGGAAAAGGCTTGGAATATGCGCATGTCTCCCAAGCACATGTGCTGACCCACAAACACATGTGTGTATGTATGTTTTTACATTTTTAAGTAACCTTAGCAACAATACCCAGGGACTGGCCTTAGTGGAAAGATCAAATGTGTCAACAAGTGTCACTTATTGAATGATCACTCTAATCACTGTTATGTTCTGACGTGTCCCATTTTTAGTTTTCTAAATATTTTTGAATGAATTGCCAAAGAAAAACAATCCGTCAGAGTTAATATTGCTGTGGAATTTTCTCCATAAAAATGCTTAAAAAAAAAAAACTCTCCTTGGTTTTACTTTTTCTCTACTCATATGGTGTTCCCCTAGTGTTGATTAGAAGTTCCGTTTTTAAATTTAAGAGGCACTTTAATAATAATAGTAATAATTAACAATAAAAATTATTTATTGAATCTTAAGGCCAACTCAGACAACATCGTCTGACACAACCCAATGTGATTTATCTTCGAGGACAGTCTTTATGTTGACGTGAGAATGTTAAACATATTTAATATTCGACAACGCAACTGTCCCTGAAGCAGACCTGTTGCGCCTGCATTTACTTTGGTTTAACACCCACAGATATGTGTGTCAACAAATCAAGTCAGTCTGTGTTGTACAGTGCTTAGTTGCTTAGTCTCAGAATGCACTGCAGTAATTGTAAGCTTTTAGTTTCACTTCAGTAGAAATTGTGAAAAAGTAAAATAATATGCCGTAAAACCTCGAATTGAAGCCCTGGGCTAATTTTGCAAACTAAAGAGGGGGCTTCAATTCAAGATGGGCTTCATCTCAAGATTAAGCCCACTGGGCATCAATTCAAGGTTTTACGGTAACAGATCAATGTTGTTACATTAATTTTGTTACCTTAATTGTTTGGAAAGATCCACTGTATAGATGTTCTTGGGTGGCAACGAGGGCACGCACCCAATGGTTCAAGCCACTTAATTCCTTTTTCAGTTCATGGGTGTGTGCATCCCATACCTATTCCACAAAAAAAACAACACATGGTCAATGACATGGCGTATTAAGAAAAAAACGGTGCAAGACCATTTAATCAGAGTGTAATTATCACAAAACTAAAATACGCTAGAATTGGCAAGGCCATATTATTAGAAGACAGGATAATGAATCTATTTAGGACACCAAACTGGAAGCCACATAAATACCAGAGACAGCGAGGCAGACGATCTGTATGTCAGAAATGAAATCCAATCCATATGGCAGACTTATGAATGATTTCCACATAAATGTTTGCCGCCACTGTTCAGAATGCAGCCTGAGAGCATTTTGAAGGCTTACTTTACTTTATAATGTGTTATTTTGGATTTAAAATTGTGAATTTCCAGTATGAAACACAAATCAAGGATAACCCAGTACATCTATTGTGTGGTGTGTGCAAAATGCACATGGGACCAACCACTAACGTCTCATCAAAAAGACGATGCGCTATTGCAACTTGTATTTCGGTGCTCCAATCGGTCCCAGATGGAAAAAGTCCACATCAGGGAAGCCTGGTATAATGAGCTGTCTTAATCCATTCAACTGTATTCTCATGTGCATAGCGACACCCGTAGTCAGCCGACAAATTGGAGGGAATGAGTTTAGGGGAATGAACTATAAGTAAGATGTTTTTTTATTTCCAAATACACGTCGTTACCTTGATAACTTTGAGTGAGCCACTGAAAAGCATATTGTTTGCGCTGACTAGCGTGCACACAGCATTGTCGTGAGCTGCAATTGTCTTTTCATGTTCCAATGTATCAATATTCCATACCTACATTACAAACGAAAAAAAAAAAAAATGTTCAAACAATTATTATACAAATAAATCTATCAGGAGGAATTTTTTCAACACGTTAGTTCTCAGAAATATTCACATGGTGTGCCACAAATTTATACTATTGAAATAGGCAAATTAAAATGACTTTATTTATTAGATTGTTACAAAAGAATATTATACTTACATTTATAGTCTGGTCTGATGAACCACTGTACAATTTGTTACTACAATGAAAACAAAAAATAAGAGTATGATAAAAGAAATATCGAATGTAACTGCTTTTACATTTTTGTAAAGTTATGTTGAAACAACCATATTTAAAATTGGTATACAATTGGATAATGCTCAATATTCAAATACTTCTGATAGGCAACAATTCTCCTTTTCTGTGTTATATTTTTTAATGAATTTCATTTTATCCTGAGTGGCATATATCAAAGAGCACTGTTTTCACACACAAACCAATACACATAAAAACAAAAATAGGTCCAAGCTCATAAGATTGTTACTTAAATATTATAGTTTCAGTGCACTTTGTTTACTCTGCAACAAATGGTGCAATACAAAAAAAAACCATTACATTACAGGAAGAAATAGCTAATCAAAATATAACTTGATTTCATCTATAAAGTGGATTTTAATTGGTAACTAACCCATGGGTACAGAGAGCCAGTACAATCCCTGTATGTCCTTCCATTGTCTTGTGGCAGGTATAACTTGGACGGGTATCCCAGACTTTAATAGTCTTATCTGAAGAGCCACTGAACAGATAATCGCCATGCACACATAAGCACCAGACCGGGCCTTGATGACCAACAAACGTACCTTTACACCGGTATAGCTGTTGCGGCTCTGCAAGACATAAACAGCATAAATAATGGAAACTAGAACACCAAGACCATCAACAACAACTACAACAAAATTTATTGTTGTTTTAGTTAAGCCTGGTTTCTTAAAAATCGCTACCCTGTCGCCACAGCATTTTTCAGTGCAATCATTGTGTTCACAGCAGTCGTCTACACAATCTGAAAGGCTCCCCGATTCGATTGACCAATGAGCATCACTGAAAGCTGTCGGCAATAACGTTTAGCGATTGTATAGAAACCAAGCTTTAGTCTTCTTGATAATTAATGTTTATTGCTCTATTTTTTAAGTAATCTTTAATATTGTATATAGCATTCTTTTTGGTAGCCTTCATCTATTGTATGTTGTATTTTATCTTAGCAGGACCATATTGAAAACAGCGTTACCCTCCATCTCATCTGTGTATGTTATCAATGATTACAGAATCGCATGAGGTAAGACTGAATTGATTTTGTATTCATGCAATGAAACAATACAAAAAAGTACTAGCACAAGATAGGGGGCGCCCTATTTACGAACACCTTTTATATTCATTTGAAAGGACAACGTCTAGTTTGTGGTAGTAATTTTTTTGAGATTGGAATTGCATTCAAATGAAATCCTGAGAGTTGGACCTCTTGCAATTTTATACTCTTTATGTTATCCTGCATAAATATGTTTTAGAAATTTAAAAAAAAAAACAGCATGGCCATGTATAGTATTTATCTACCAATTAAAGTTTCAAAGCGCTTTCAGGTATGTGCTAAAATTAGAGATGTATCTTTATAGATGGCCAGATGGATGCTCATTCCACTGTTAAGAATGGAATTTATTACTTGTATTCATTTATTGAGAGCAGTTGGTGCATGCGATAGTGGCTCAGGGTTATATTATTGAGGTCTAGGCTTTGAATCTTTGACTGTGCATTTTGATCATTTATTTAAGCAAGGAAATTTCTTCATATTATCTCCACCATAGTGGGTACCTGGTAGGTCTTAATAACTATCACCGATTCCATATGCAATAGTGTTCCATCTTGTTGATTTGAGGATATGTTCCATATGTATTTGATCACAGAGGCATAATTTCCATGGTTGGAGGGATAATACATAAGATCCAGATTATTGCAATATGAGCTATATAAATAGCATATTACTGTTATCATATTTATTATATTTTGAGCCTGCTATTCTTGTCCTCCATTGGTCGTCTTAACATCATTGTGAATGACATTGGAGTCTGGAATATGTGGATCATCCCTCTGCCTAGCAGAGAAACAAGCCAAGTCATCACAAAATGTGAATGATGTAAAGGATGTATCATGTATATGATGATTGTGAAAGATGTTTTAGCATTACTGAAAGATGTCCTACCATCGTTAAATCTTCCGATGATGTAAGCTATCTCATGGTTAATTGTGCTAAACTTCCTTCTATTATCAAGCATTTCACTTGACATCTCGCGCTGGTTTTCATCAAGATCCTCTGCAAGAGAAAATTACATAAATTAGGAAAATACAGTATTATTAAGTGAAATTAACATATTTTTTGGTTCTAGATTTATCTAGTTTGAAAGTCCTGGTCTTTTGGGTTACACAGCAGGGTATCTAAACTTTCTGGGTCCCTGAGTCCTGGGGTAGTGTCTAAGGGGGGGGGGGGGTGTCATAATCTTGGTTACTTAGGGTTGGAATATGTTAGTTATTTTGCTTACCTACTAATTTCTCCATTCGGCTTTGGTTTTCATCCAGGTAGCCTAAAAAGCAAAAGAAAACATTATTGGTTTCACTGAATTCAAAATAATTTCACAATAATTATTCATTTTTTAAAACTAGAAATAAATCAACCTTGTCACACCTGTTATCTAAAAATCCTTGATCTGACATCATATCAACTTAAAGCAGGTATAATTTAATACACTGCATCAAACTATAAACATACCATGACTGAATGTCATATATTGTAAAATATACAAATATAACAGAGCAGGAAATGTTTTATATAATTTTAAATTTATTTGATAATACTGTACAGTATATTAATAAAAGAAATCTCATTTAAAAGTGACTGAATCAACAATTTACACAATGGAATGTTCTAAAAAGACAAAATATTTGGCTTGCTGAGTAGCAAGAGGATTTGACTACGGCCGAGATTGAAAGTTAAGCGCCAGTAATATTGTATGTTTTTTCAAAGGAGTAATTCATAAGTTTTAGAAAAACGTTTTCCATAACACAGACAGCATTCTTTCAAAAGTCAATCTGAAATCATAATTATTTTTTTTATTTGATAATTTGAGATTGGTAATATCAGTGAAACAAGATTATTACATTGGAATATATTACAGCATGGATCTGGATGTAATCTGTATGAATTAGGATTGCTTTTCTTAGAAGCACGTTCATATCATTACACCTTGACTCATTCCTTTTTCATTTCCTTTCACCTGTTGTGGCTATGTTTATATTTTCATTCCTGCCATTTTATTCTAATTTGGGTCAACAAGATTTAATTGACCAATACGTATTTGAGGAATTTTTATCGTCAGAAAACTACGTCTTATGTATAATAACTGTTTATAATCATGTGATTTGTAAAATAATTATGATTAAAAACACCTAAAGGAAAATGCGTTTCAACATGAAAGCTAAAGAGCATATACCAGTTTTACCAGCAAGAAGTACAACCCAACAGTAATTGGCAGCTGCCGGCAGTTGCATATCTAGGATTTTTGTAATGGGAGGTCTGATTGTGGGGGAGGGGGGAAAGGGCATAAAGGTTGAGTGAGGGGAACTAGGTCGCAAAACAAGTTGACGTGAGGTGATTTTCAACTTCTTGAGCATGATTTCTTTGCTTCTGATATTTTCAATGGAGGATGACCAAAGGGTGCACCCCTAGATACGCCACTGATAATTGGGTGTCTTGGGTTCGAATCCTAATGAAGGCAATATGTTTTTATCACTGATGGGGGTTTCTATATACTTATTGTGCTTTTGAACTGTATCTGTCATAAGCATATTAAATTTACGACACAGATTCTATTGAAAAAGAAAATTTACTGTGGCGCCCTCAGTTACACACACTCAAGTATATTTGTAAATGGCAACGAGTAAAACAATGCCTGACAGCTGTCCGAATCATGATTGTGAAAGCGATATACATCACACACACCTGTGTGTCTACAATTGATTACTATCGCGTGCAATTTCATTCCAGTGAAAAGTTTCACAAATGTCCAACTCCGCTGGCACCTCTAAAATTAGAACTTTCTTCCACCGGTTCACTTAGGCTTTACGGATTGGCAGGCGCTACTAGACCGTTTAATTTAGTTAATGCGGAAAACAAACTTGTTATACTTACTAATTTTCATTTCCAGGGACTTCTCCAGCCGGTCAACCCTTTCAGAGAGTTTGCCGAGCATTGAACGTAGAAAGCCTATCTCCTGGTCTTTCTGTCTAATTGTCAACTGCAAGTCACGCATCTTGTCATCAGAGTTCTGCAGAAAGTTTTTGATGCTGTCGTAGTAGCAGGTTTGGAGGTGGGCGGAGACTTCTTCCAACGTGCCTACGTACGGACATCCATACTTACTATGGTCACACTTGCACAGGTTGCAAGACTTCATGTGCAATTCTAAATCCTGGAAGTAAATAAATAATAAAATTAATATTCTATGAAATATGAATAGTAGAAATTTATTCAGCTTATCAAAAATATTTGCGTAAATAGATTCAGGAATCTTTTTTTTTTATTTGACATCTTATTGCAACGTTTAATGTATTTCCCTTTACCCTCCTGCAAGTGGCGAATCTCATTTGCTGTTGGTTTCGGTATTGAAATAAATAAATAAATAAATAAATAAATGAATAGATAAAACCCATCGGCGTGCTTACTGCACAGGTCAATGGCCGATGGCTATCGGTTTCTTTAGGAAATCGCAACACAGATTAGAAGATCAAAGTTGTAGTTTTAGATTACAACAAATATTTAATCTGAGTTTCTGTTTTCCATGTGTGAGTGAACTTATAATCCACGCTAACACCTTCAACCACCTAAGGCATCACATACTCTCAAATTGTCAATATCATGATACGTGAAAGAACCGAAAGCTTACGTGCACTCAGGTAAATTCTTCCTGAGGGGTCGAAGTTACTGCTCTGTCCACCTGTGACTTGTGATTGTTATGATACATTGTGCAGTATTCTAGGCCAGATCTAAAAATACAATACTTCTACCCAAGTCCCTAACCATTCCATACAATATGGAGTCCAAAATTAGTAACTTCTTGAGTCCAAGCTAATTGAACTTTGGAAACCCAATGGCAATTGTTGACTGTTATTTTCATTTACCTATGGTAACTACAGAAGATAGGATGCGTCATATATAGAAGTGAAAGGTAAATTGTTTATATTGATTGATATGTGTGGTGATAGGGACTTGTGGGGTGGATAGCCTTTGGGAGTGGTGAACTGTGAGATAATATCAATGTTTCCAAGTTATAACATTTGTGTATATTGTCTGTCACAGCCTTCCACTGAGTGGTTAAAATAGGACACTAGATCTTGCGCTGCTGTATTGTGTTAGAATTGATATCAAACACCAGAAGCAAAAGTAATACAAGGGGAGGTTATAACAGTTAATTTTCAACTAATATTTAAGTGAAAGAGTATGAACGAGTGTACAAGTCATCAATCAATACTTAACAGTTTTAGTAAGTTCTGATATCTTATTTATTAATCTATCTTTATATTATGTCTTTAGGTACAGACACTCCTTTGTATATAGGGATGTCCATTCCTCTATATCCTCTGTACATATGAGTGAAAAAATAATAACAATATTGATGTTTTGAATCAGAGAAATCAAATAGCTGTCTCTTATACACATCTAGATGTGTATAAGAGACAGATATACATCACACACACCTGTGTGTCTACAATTGATTATTTGAAAAATGTAAAGTTAAAGAATTTAATGAACTGTGAGTATCTATGGAAGATTTTGTTCCTAAAATGATAATACCAACTTAAACTTACCATCTTTAAAATTGTTGGGCAGTTAGGATTATTTGGGCAGTTCATTGGTGCAAAACCACAATTGGCTTCATGAGTACTGAATAGAGAGAAAAAACAAACATGTTGAGAAGCCAATCTAGTAATTTAATACAGCATTGAGTAGTCCCAGAAAATTATGTTACACTAGGAAGGAAGAAACAATTTGTATAGTACATTTGGTCATTAAACTGGAGTTCTTTACAAAAAACCCCTTAAAGTACAATCACCTGTGTGCCCCATTTGCAATCCAAGCCACAAATACAGAAGAACCCCTCCTATTAAGGGGACACTCCTATTAAAGTGACACTTTTTCGGCCAACAAATGAAGGAAGGTACATATCCTTTAACACTATGGCTAACTATATTCAAGGAACACCCCTATTAAGGGGACACTTTATCGGCCAAGAAATAAACAAAGGCACATATATTTTAACACTCTATATTTAAGAAACACCTCTATTAAGGGATGCCTTTTGGTCTCAATAGTGTCACCTTAATAGGGGTTCTACTGTAAATGGAACAATAAAGAACATACACATTTATAGATATAGTTTGTGCTGAGATAATTAACATTAAGAAAAAATTTCAATATTGAAATTGCTTTGCATTTTTAGCTTTCATATGGAAATTAGAATGAAAAATATATATGAATATTTATATCTTTATACAACCAATTATTTAATTAAAAGATTTATATAGTCCAAGATATGTAAATCCACAAGCATTAAATTGTTTTGATATGGTTTTATTAGAACTTAATATTACTTTTACTTTTGAATGAGCTATTCGATACTAAATAATTCACACTTTCAAGGTTATTTCCAGATTTCACCACATATCTTTCAGTGAACATCAAATACACCACAGAACAATTTCAGTTCAATCACGAGAAAAAACAAACAAGAAAAACATTGCATATAATTACCATGTAATAAGAAACACATGAAATGGAGATGGTAAATGCTAGCGGGAAGTAGGTACCTCTGGCAAGATTTCCTAATATTTATTAATTACCTCCTAAATAGGAGCGAGGAAGGGTTATTAAATTAACGTGCTTGATGCCGATTCCTATCCCAGATTACCAATGTTCTTTTGAACGCAGTACTTGGGATCATGTGAATTTTGCGTTCACAATTCCCACAGGATCACAGAAGGGGTTTTTCGGAAGAACGTGCTGTAAGATAAGGTTTCCAAAAACATGGCACAAGAGATTACTTTCACTTAATAAGGGGGGTTTAAAGTTTATGTGACGGTGAAAATCGCTCATCCAGAACGTTCCGCAACAGCTGGCACTCAAGGGCTCTTTCAGAATCGTCGGGCAAAAAAAGTTCCTAAGTAGAAAGTGCGAATAATCACTTTATCAATTTCCATATCAGCTACTAAGACTTTAACATAAATGATGCAGAACAGATTTGAGCAAAAAAAAAATTAAAAATTGGTGGCGTATCACTTACCTCTTTTCGCTTACACGCATGGTCATGGGACACCCTTCAGGATCAACTTCGTAATCACCGGATATTCCACTCGATGACAGCTTACAACCGTATTTGCAATGGACGTATAATTCACTGATCTGTTCGTTAACGGCAATGTTAGCAACAACAACAGCTAGCTTGCTATTATCCACTGGACATTTTTCTGAAGAAATGGAAGGAAAATGGAATAAAAATAATTAATATATATGGTGTCGAAGATTATTTATTCCTCAAATTATTCTAACATCAAGACCCTGTCAGCTGTAATCTACCTTTACTATTACTACACAATTTGTATATATTTGTCTTCTCCATTTGTCTGTCTTGTTTTCTCTTTCCTTTCCTCTTCTGTCTTCTATTTTTTTTTAATGAGATTTTAAATAACTTTTCCAAATTATATGAATCAAAACAAATTTTCACCATGAAACTTTCATTAACATTCAACTTAATTTTTGTTTATCTCCACTGATATTTATATTGGTTCATACAAAAGTATTAATTAGGCATTGCCTGTAATTATCACCTTTGTCATTTCAATTGATTTTAATTACTCTGATTTTTGAACATTTTATAACATTACATAAGAGTTTATTGTTATATGATTTCATTCACACAATGGTGGTTTCTCCAAAGGCTGAATGTGAATAATATAAACAAAATAAAAAAAATAATAAAATCTTTATTGTTACTTTTGATGATGTTATTAGCTTTAATGGTAACATTCCACTCGATCATAAACATGACAGGAGTCAGATAATATAGTAACTTCCTAGCTATTATATTTAATAGTCAGTATTCAAGTATTAGGTCACATGACCTTACAACAAATCAAATGACATGCGGTGACTATAACTTCTGCTTGTTTCATAAATCAAAGTTTAGGTTAGCACGGTATGTGTAATATATACTGCCCTCACATAGAAATGCTTACTTGAACATTACATTTGTTAGAGAATCTATTCATATATTTGGACTATGATTTTTTTAGAATATGATTTTTTCTTTAATGCATCTTTCCACACAATCTGACAATTTTAGTTTTGAAAATTGATTATGGAAATTTATGCCCAGTACATTTCTCTCTAAATCCACCAATCACAACCCTTCGATCATGTCACCTGCTTGCAGGCAACACCTGCTCATCAGTTCTCACTTTCAGTCAAATCCTTTCCAAATAATTTACAGAAACACATTTGCACTTTTCAAAACAAAAAAATATGAAAAATATACTAAGAAAGAGAAAGCTGTCTTCATGAAAGACAGGCAAAATTGAACCAGGCCTAAGTTAATCCCACGGCAGGGCTCAGCTGTCCCGTCATCAGATCTCGTAAATGACTCAAAGGACAGCGAACATATTAAAATTCCTACAATGTCGAAAAGTATTTTCTTCAAAATCTTTGAAGTTTATAGACATGCAAATTTCCAAGCAGACATCTTGACAGGATTGTTAAAATTATTGATACGTGTAATTTTGTAAAAGTCCTGCTGTTTATAATTGTAGTTATTGAAAGGATCAATATTTTATTTCAGATTGCTGTCACATGATTTTTATAATCAATCAATCAAAAAAGAAGAATGACACTTGAAAAGTACAAGACTTTGTGTAATACTACTAAATCTATTTCTACAAACAGAATGATCATTAACAAAATCAAATGTATATATCTGACAGATGAATAGATATTACAGTTATAAAGTCCCCTTTCAAACAGCATTACCAATATATTCCAGAATATTATATTAGAAATATGATTCTTCTATTTAATTATTTATTCAACTACATTTTAAGTGGGCAGCATTTTAGTATGGATGATAAGAAGGGGTCCACTTAAACAAATCAACGACAAAACAGCATAAAAGTATAACATCACAACAAGTAGCAAGAAGTAACATTCTCTATCAGAAAGATTAATACCACTAGGCCATCTTAGAGGCTAGAAATTTAATATCAAAATATTCTTGAATTGGTTGGTAAAAACTGTTGTATAATTATCCATAATCTTATACAGAAGATATTTCTCATATATTACACATTGCAGTCATTTGTACCAATTAAAAAAAAAACAATCTGTTTTTTATGCATGGGATTTTCCCACTGATGGATATCAACTGAAGAAGTTACTAAGAAGAATTGGACTAGACACATACTGAGAGAAAGAAGTGACAAAAATATGTTTCACAGTTATAACGTGTTTAGTGTAGGGAGAAAGATATTTTTATTTAGTACAGTTTATGAACCACATATTGTATATTGGCTGAAATAGGAGAGTAGAGTGCACATAAATGTGATAGCCTAAGACTTTTTTAAGTCTCCATAGATTTAAGACCGCATTTATAGGGCATTTTGTATTAAACTGATATGTACTGTATCTTGGTGGCAAATCACCAGAAAAAAAAACCCTGCAGCATAGCTACAAAAGCATTTTCTCTCTGATATTCGCTTGTTCCTAAATTTCAATATGTACACAGATTAACAGAAAGTCAAAAAGAAAAAAAAGCCTTTTGACATAATTGCTATGCTAAACACATACAACATGCATAAATGAAGAAAATATCTTACCGTTATGGCGGGAGTTCACACACTGTCTACAGTACGTATGCTGTAAGAGAAACATAAGACTTATCATTTCAAACGCCCGTCAGAGAGTAACTTCATACTGGTACGTGAACGCTGGATACGTACTACTACCAGAATTAACGAATGAAGGCCTGGTACTCCACCTTCAAAGGCAATACACTCTGTTTAAACAAAACTACAACCTGACTCATCGATTTTGATAGGTCTTACCGGAACCATTAGCTCACAACAACGAATCATCAACTTTACTCGCCCGCTCATCATAAATGCACGCAACACTTTAATCATTTAGTTACGGTTTAAACAATTTGTACTTTTTATGCTAATTAACTAGGTAGAAGCTCCAATCGGAAGTTGGCATTTTGTGGGATGTAACTGTTTGTTGTCCAGCGATTTACCTGGAAGGGTTCGCGCAACGCTGTTTTAATTGAATTAACAGCGGGTTGGTACAAGACAGATACCATCGCTCATTAGGATATTGAATTGGTCCTGTTACTTTGATCAAAGTAATTACTCACTAATATAATTAGTCTCGATTCTCTTAATCATTTTAGGTTCTTGCAGTAGGATTGAGGAACAAATTTTGAAGACTTCCTCTAAGAATTTGATGTTTACTCTAGATTACTAGCTTTTGTCTCTCAATCAATGATTCAATGATAGAGGGAGGGGTGTAGAGTTCATATATAGTGTGTGTGTGTCAAAAAATAGAAGGAGGGGCACACAAAATTCACAGGTGTGCTTAGAATCAGGAAAGGATAAGTCACAGATGTGCTAGGAATGGAGGATGGGGTACATAATTCACAGGTGTTAAAGTAGTAATGTAAAAAGAATGTAGTACTTTTAACAAAACCCAGCCTTGGAACTTGAAGCAAGACAGAATTTACAAACTCAATGAAGCATCACTAGTCCCATTTAATATAGCAATTCACTATATTAAAACAAACTTAGGTAAAAGTAAAACTAAGCCTGTATCTATGGTAAAATTTAAAATAAAACAATAGTTAAACATAGTCAAACAAATAATAAAACTGCAACAACATCAACACAATGATTAAAAGTGGGTATCTAAAACCTTTTATTTTAGTATGAAATTGAAAAAAAAAAACCAATAAATGTTTAAAAAATGCAAGTACTTCACGTGAAATACTGCTATAGTTTTGGAAACAGTTATCAGAGGTTAAATTTAACCTATTAAGTTTCTAAGAGTAGTGAGATTTATAACTTGTTCAAGTGTCTAAAACCTGAAATGAAAAATTATCCTAATAATAAAGAAAGGAAGATGGTGCAATAAATTAACACAATAATCCACTCAGGAAATACTGTTATTCTCACAAATAATTATATTCAATCATTTAGTTTGAAAGCTAATTTGCAATGAAATATTTACCTGAAGATTTTTAAAGGGTGGGGCACTAAATTCTTTGTTTAAAAAAATTATTTCCTTCCGGTTATTATTGAAGTAATAGGTGCGAAAAAATTGATTGATTATCAAGGTGATGCATAGTTTTAATGAATTTGTAAATGAAGATGATAATTAAACTAATTAAAGATCGTTTCCGAATGAACTTTTAATGGAAATTATTTATATGAGGAAATTTTTTACAATATTTTATGACGGAAGTCAGGTGAAATTATGTAGCAGTTGTTGTTTATGACTTTTGTGGTTATACACTAAAATCTGGCATGGCACCAGAAAGACAGAAAAAAACAAAGAACAATGAAAATAACAACAAACAACAATAACAATAATATTAGTGATCTGGGTGTAGCATACCATATATGGCATTCAACCATGATAGTTTTCTCAAATTGAGGTACCAACAAAATTTAATAGTTTAATTGCTTATTTTTTTTAATTAAATAAGTTAAGACTAGAAAATATTTTTCTTGCTAATGAACAGATTGATAAATAATGTTTTCATATTTCTTTATACAGAGCAGTACTTACATTTGGCTGGAAATCAGTTTAAGGATTTTCAAGTAAAATTTCAGAAAATCTGTGAACTCTTTAATTATTTCAATGCTATCTTATTGGAACAAGATCCATCAATGTATAATTGTTTATTTTAAGGGTTTTAAGATTTGAATATTTTAAGATTTTGAACTTGACAATAATGAAGTGTTACAATCCTGTAATAACTTAGTAGATGTAAACTATCCATCATATACATTGTCATATCAAGGTAACCAGCCAGTAAACATTAATCTCCAGGCTATAGTAAATTAAATAAAAAATGTGACTCAAAATGTAATAGTTTTCTTCAAATTCCTTCAATTTCTCTAATTTTCCTTAAAATTATCTATAAATAGTTTTATGGAAATTTGATTGATACCAGAAGGAAACTCTTTCAAGATTTTGAACTTGAGAAGGATAATGTCAGTCACACACCTACGAAATGTTTGTGACTGTGATGTCTAAACACATACATACTGTACCTACAGACACAACCCCAGAGACAATATTACACAGACCCTCACACATCCCCACCACACAGGTACACAGATAGCGAAAATGACACTGTCCTTTACTAGATGCTATGTACAGTATAGAAGCAATAATGATTCATTTGCTTTTATGCTTTCTGCTTTGTTAGTTTTCTTTATATTATTAGAATATTTCATGGTTATATTTCTTTTTGTTCACCAAAAGTACATAGAGAGGCAACTTTATTGTATTATGCGCTATATAAGAATTTTATTATTATTATTACTATTATTATTATTATTATTATTATTATTATTATTATTATTATTAAGTGTACTGCATTTTTAACACATTAATGGAACATGTTGAACATAGGCAAACTGAATTAAAATGTCTACTAAAATGTAGTGTGCTAACTTGTATTTCACAGGAAAAGCAGTCTGATCAAATAAAACCATGGAACATGCATGCCTCTACGGTTCAGCGCACGCACCCGGTTTCATAAAACCAATATTTAACCAAACAGAATTATGCTCCTCTTAGAAATTAATGAAATATTATTACTTTGGGAACATTTTGAGGGTAAAAAGTGCCAAATCATAACCTTTCTGAATACTGGGTAATTCTTTAACTAGTTTTTGTCTAGACCAGAAGTAGAATCTTATTGATTAAGTTAATTATGGTTTGGAGCTTCTCTTATCAACTTGAATTGTCCTTTACCCATTTGCATGCATTAACTACTCAATTCTTGATACTCAAAACTTTAATTCAAGTCTAAAAACCCTATTGCAGGTTACACTTCTAGTTTGACTGGAATTAGTTGCAAAATTATCTTTTATCTCTTTTTATATTGTGAATTGTATGTTTTATATGTATGTATATGCAAACAATGGATGAGAATAAAGTTTGAATCTTGAATCTTTTTAACAATTTAAATTAAAACATTTAAAAGAATTTTAAAGTAATCTTTAAACTACATGAATCAAACTCACTTGTTTTTAATTTCAAATTAATATTTTCATGTTTGTTAAAATGTTAGTTGAAGTTAATTTTATTGCTGTTATAAACTGTGGAATAAATTGATTTATTATATTAAAATGAATTTGATTATAATTAATATATTTTGAACTTTTCACCAGGTCACGATCATTAAGCATTGGGTGTGGCAAGTAGTGACATCATTCCTCAACATGCTACCATGACAACTTGAAAAACAACCTGCTTGACGAGCCCTACTTAGTGCAAAATAAGTGAACAGCTGGCCCGCACTCGTGTAAGCCACTCTATAAAAACTCCTCCAGATCGCTCAGCCTGCCTTCATTACACATACGATGATAACATCAAGGGTAGGCTGGCGTGTACAGATTAGATCTTCTGATGTGTTATTGTGTCATATGAAAGTGACACTGTAGGCCTGCATTTTTGCCAAGGATGGGGCACGCATTAAGTAAGGCTGACAGATGCCAGCCCAGCCCAAATGACTAGGGTTACGGAGAGCTAGGCCCATGGCCAGTCAGATCTCTCAGGGGGGAAGAGCACTTCCCTTTCCTAAACACTGTAGGTCAGTTGCGATAGCTTGTGGGTCAAATAAAATATCATTATGACATGTGTTGTCATGGTGATGGGTATAATGACTGACAGGTAAACTCCTTTGTTGTCTGTCTCCTTACATTAACTTGGAGACGATTGACATTATCTTATTTTTTTGCCATGAAATTTAAATATTAATAAGAGTAATACGAATAATAATAATCATCAATTATCTTTTTTACTATATTAGTTTAAGAACATGTCTATTTGGAAACTCAATATCTGTATTATATCATAGTGAATGAAGATTTTATGAATTTGAAAACAAGAGCTTAAATGACTCCCATATCTGACTGACCTAAAACAATTTTTACCCACAAAAGTCAGCAGAATGTGACAGAATTGCATACAGAAGAACTATCATTTTGTACCACGTTTACAAATACTTTTGAGAAACTTAATTTATACTTTATTTTATAACTGTTTTATCCAATTTCCCCATATCAATTTATCAAATTTTGTTTTTGTGCAATGCAATTCCGTATCATTTATAATTATTTACTTATTTAAAAAAAAAAAAAATTCTTTTGTATTTTGGAAAAAAAGATTTGGAAATAAATTACGCTATTTATAATGGTGTGGTTTTAATCTAAACTTCTTCCTTGTTTTACACAATTAAGTTGTCTAAAATAATTTTATTTAATTATTTGACCATCAAAATGTATACGAAATAAAAAACTCACAAGAAAATAAAGTATTAGAACCAGGTCATGGACGGCTAATGCAAAGGAATGACTATGTCTCACAAGAGTTAGTTGTCCGCTTTCTTTCATAGAAAAGTAATAAATGTATGGAATACACAATAACTATACACATTATGAATAGCTTCTAAATCCAAAAATATATAATATCACAAAGAATTATATAAATTTTTAACATAGATAGCAAGTTATGTCTCAACTTTATTATGCACATTTTATAAATTACTATCTTGATGTAATATGATAATGCATAAATTGTATCTGTTACTGTTATATCGTTTTTAATAGCCATTTTTTAATTTTTTCTCTTTAGTTTATTTTAATTTGCACATTTCTAGCGCATAGAGACTATGTATTTTGCGCTTTACAAATCCAAATTATTAATATTATTATTATTTTGATGTATATTTTATCTACATGAAACCAATCTTTTTTTTATATATATAAAATTTCAATGACATGAAAATGTACTCACTGCTATTTCCATATTGAATGAATAAAACTTAATCTGAATCTTCACAATCTTAAAGCATTATTTATTCATTCATTTTATTTATTAAGCTAAAGTTTTCTTAGTGGATATAACATTATGTATTTTAACTTTATAGGCCTTATATTTTAACGTAACCTTGTGTAATGATTTTGATAATATGAAATGTAACATAAAATGTAAAGATTAGTATTAAAATGAAATGTTTTGTAATATAAAATGCACTGAAAATTTAGACATGGAAAAAAGAGTGCTGAGTGTAACGGGGATGACTAAAAGACAAATGGGAATGGCTACAAAAAAACAAATTTTTGTCTTACTAATATTACATTAATATAGAAAAAGGAAAACTAGAGAGTTTGGCCACTGTGAGACGACAAAAGATGGCCTAGCGCTATACAATATTGAGGAAGACGTGTTAGGAAAGTGAAGGAAATGTAGGCAAGGGGAGAGGAAGGGTCGATGACATACAAAATAAAGAATGGCAGACTAGTCTAGCCTAGGAAATGTAGGTATGGGAGAGCAAGCAATGACATCAAGACAAAGAAGTGCACAGACTAGGCTAGCCTAGGAAATGTAGGCAGGGGAGAGGAAGAGTCGATGGCATACAAGATAAAGAATGGCACGGACAATAATTCATAAAATAAATATTTTTTATCTCTCCTACTGTACTGAGATTATCATTCAAAGCAAATTATTTTATAGTACATTTTTTGTTTTCTTTAAACAGACCGAAAAAATATACTTGATCACATCTCCATTATGCAATCAAAATTATTTTATTATCAATTGTATATTTCAAAGCATCCATTTGTTCTGCAATAAATTGATATTAAATCATGAATCTTGATTTATAAACAGAAGCATAGGACAAAATTCATCCCAATCAAACAGTAGGAAGTTTACTTTAAATTAGGAACAAATTCCTTTGCATATTTTTGATGTAAAAGTTGTTTCGTTCCCAACTGATGAAGACGTATCAGTCCACCTCTTCTTACGAACTGACGCTTCATAATGTTGTGCTCACTCAACTGTGACACAGATTTCCGAGGCACTCATCAACATTGACACCAGGCCGTTATTCTATCTACCATTCTATCTACAGGTCCACGTAAAAGCCAAAGCCAAATGCAAGTATATCTTTGCTGCATTTGGTCAAAAGGAAGTCAGATAAGCCTATGCTCGTTCGTAAGTTGTACTTTTAGTTTTCATCAGTGGAGGCTTGTAAAAGGCCAATGATCTACAATGCGAATGAAAGATTAACCGTTTTCCCCCATAAACATATCCAAAATAAGACTCAATCGGTAAAACATAGCCTGCAGATATATGTATTTTATAATTTTGAAAATTAGATTAAAGAAAAACTGCCGAGTCAAGTGGCAGCCACATTAATTGCAAGAAATATGAAAGTTTGATATGTTAGTTATGAATTAACTATTAAAAAATAAAAATTACTATGGTGAGTATTAATAAATTTATAATAAATGTACAAATCAGCAAATAAGTAATAATCTAATAAGCTGGTCAATGAGAATAACAGCAATATTAAAGCACTTTACTTAAGCATTAGAGTCATCCACTATGGTACTGAATTTCTTTTTTCATTTGCACTCAAATGAACTCTTGTTGGATTTTATAATTTTGTTGCTTTTTTAAATGGACTTGTTTTTTATCTACAGTGTTCAATTTCATTGTTTTATGCACTTAAACACACTTTCATCAATATTTAAATAAACATTTAGGAGATGAAATAATCATGAGGCAGAACACACTGATGATTGGCCATTTTAATTTATATCAGAAGGTTTGGTAGCTTCTTTCATTGTATGTAAGTTTATTCTGCAAAATGTTACATATTTTCTGAAGGTGTCCTTGTAATTTTGCAACTCATATGATAAACGCAAAAGTTTATGCTGAACAATCACAGCTTGCAAAAATGATATGTTTATTGAATTTAAAAAGTTATCGAAATACAGGAGAAAATAACACAATTTATCCACAGGCGATCACAAAAGCAGGTGCAAAATATGTAAATGAAGGTTGTAACAAACAGGTGAAAATGACACCTGTAAATTGTATTGTAAAACTACTAGCAACAGGAAAGTTTAGGTAGGCCAACTAATACTAATTCTTTCTATATTAAAAGGAGATATTAAAAAGGAATAAAACTCACCCCACATTGTGTGATGACCGGGTCCTTAAACACTTTTCGGCATAGCATACAGAACAATTTGCGATTCGGTGCCTCGGTGAAAACCAGTACCTCTGGCTGTAGGGAAGAATATATAAACATAGTGAGTCTTTCTCTAACAGTTCCCAGTGAATGTTCCAACGCGTCTTGCACGACAACTAAACACCTGCCAACGATACCCATCAAGTTTTGCTTAAAGTTTCACTTTGGCGTCTAAACGGTGACTTTTTAACGATGCCCGTTGATTTTATCTCCAAAGCTTCTAGTCACTGACTGAACAAACACACACATGATTATTATAGAGTTGATACTTTCTGATGGTTTTTTTCAAAATTAAAAATTTTCCCCGTGGAGAATCTACAAGGCCATCATCGGCTACATAGCCACCTTCTGTTCAGATTCATCCAAGTTGTGGTTTACAAGTTTTCTTAATTCATGACAAGATGGCTAATAAAACCAAATAAGACATATCGATTGCTTTATTCCCTTATGTGTAGTTACATGCAATTAGAAGGAGAAACACAAAAGGAAACATCTTTATTAACTTTTGACTTCTTCGTGATAAATGCGTACGTATCAAGACTGATCAAACGTAAACATTCACTAATTCATTTAAAATGAACGATATGACATAAGCATATTGATAAGTTAGAATGTTGCAATTTCAATCACGATGGTACCAAATTTAAAAGTGAAGACTATATGGCATTTAAAACAAAAAGAAATAATTTGGGGTAAAATGAAAACCACATTATTTGTTATTATGTACTTCGAAGTATACAAATATGTGTGTATGTGTGTATATACATATATATATAAATATATATAAATTTTAAAAGGCAAATGGGAAAAACCAATAAAACAGCAAACGGCCACATAATGCAAAACTATTTAAAATTAAAACGGAACAGTAGAGAAAATCCGATCAGAATGACAAAATAAACTAAGCATCCACTGGAAGGAATCCCAATAAGGGGATAACAATAAAAAGAAAGAAAAATTAAAATGTTATAATTCATGCAGATAAAAAACGAGGCGGCTAGCAGAGAAAATGAGGGGCACAAAAAGCAAGATAAACAATAATGTACAATAGATTAAAAAAAGTTTTGTTATAAGTTTTTTATTTACATTTTTTATTTTATTTTATATAGTTTGATAAAAAAAATCACGCAAAACAAGCTGAATTTCTTATAAATACATATTTATATTTATAACATTTAAAAACACATATGAATATACATATAAATATAAATAATAAACATTTATATTTATATAAATAAATATATAATATTAAACTACTCTATATCTTTATTTTCCATGAAATTCACGTTTTAACTGACATTGGCTATCAACACAATTGGACATGAGGTACAACAGAAGACATTTGAGGTGAAGGGTCAGAAGTATACAGATTGCAGACACTGGTACGTAGCACTACTGACTTCCTACTGTGCTAAATTATAAAGACAGGTCCATATATTTTAAAGCTGGACCAGAAATAAATCAGATATAAATAGTGGATAGATGACTTAAACGAGTCTTATAAAAAATGAAATTGTATTGTTGAAGGTAAACAGTGATAGTAATAGGATGGTTATATGCTTTAAATTTATACAAATAGGAAGAAATATACATCTTATTCTTGGAGCTTTCAAAGCAGCGGCGGGCGTAATAAAAATAAAGTAAACCTTTTCTGAAATTTTCATTTTTCATGGCGGCAGGTGCTAAATAAGGTATTAAAAAAATCTTGCCTTACAGAACTGTAAAACCTCAAGGAAATAGAAGATGTTGCAAAATAGAATTTGAAAGTATTGCATTAAAGATGACCTATTAGCAATTAGGCCTATTTTGGTTTTATCGTAAGCATATCGACCTTAGAAATACAAGAGATAATGAACGACCCAACATATCCCCCGAAGGCTTTTTACTTTGATTACATCCGGAATGAAACTTTGTACATTGCGCTACCGCTTCAGAAACTCATTTGCGCAAACTTAATCTCAATTTTTAATCAAATGTGAAGAGATATATTTTTAAGACTGAGAAAACCAAAAAATTGAAATTCAATATTTGAATTCATATATTTAAAAGAAATTTTAGCTTCAACTCAAAATTAAATAAAACATGTTTCTCTCACAAAGTAACAATATTAAAATAATACCTACACTCGATAGACCCATAAATTGGTTGTAAAAACAGAGATTCTGCAAATCATATTATTTTTATGTAGTTTCTATTATTGACAGAAAGAAATATAAATAGTGAGCACACACCAACCATCCACTCACACTTTTAACTAATGAGGATATTAAATATTGATACAAAAAAAAGTAACATTAGTTCATGAGAACTATGTTGCCCATAGTAAAAAAATGTTGAATAAGAAAGTTCATTCGCACTGCATCATACAGATACCCTAATCTGCAAATATATAGGATAAAATAATAATACTTCAAAGAATGCTAGTAAAAAATTGGATGAAAGACTGATTAAGTATAGACAATAAAAACCATGAAAATCTTGGTTTTTTTTAATTTACAAAATACAAGTTTTTTAGCTAATGATATTATAGACTTAAACATCCTATATTTATTTAGTACATTGCCTGCTAAGTTTACCGAGAATAACAAATTTTCAAGCTGATTTTTTTTCAAATAATGAAGATATCAAGAATTAGGTACTCACTTCAATATCCTTATTCAACATAATCTCAGAAAAAGGAGGCATTTTGAAAACGCAAGACAACAAAAAGCAAAAGCGTTAAGTGTGGGGTTTATCAAACCCGGTATCAAAGTTGGCTTCCACAGTAATGCCAAATACACACTAAACCCGCTAAGCACTCAAAACTCAGGCCACAAAGTAAAATGTTAATTTGCACAACTGCCACTAATGTACCACGCGCTCACATTCCGTTACATCATCACGCAGCATTTCCTGGTGAACTCATACTGACCTTTAAACCCAGAGACTCTAAAGTTTCAGCAGCGCAGGCATCAAACACGAGCATGGCTAACATCCTTCCTCACGATACTAGAGTTTAGCAGAATGCGGTTTGCTTTGCACGCAAATTGAAAACATGCTGTTTACGTAGGAAGCTCGACAATCAATGATGCTCTTATCACTACAGCAGCCAAAAGAAAATTCAGTTTATCAAAATCGCGCGAACCCCCTGATCAACTATCCATACTGATGCAATCACTTATACTAAGATTCAGTGAAAAAAAAAACCTGCATCAGTTTTGTGATCAATGTCACAAGTCCTCCGGTACTTTCGATCTTGGAGTATTACGTAGATCGTTCATTAAGTAATTCTTTAAAACATAATTGCTTTCAATTTGACAGTAAGTTGTTCACCAAAAAACTTCCCTATGGGAATAACCCATCGGTTAGATACATAATTACTACAGTGATTAAAATCTTGGAATCTTCAAACAGTTATGATATTTTTTATGAGCCTATCACTTTATATGAACTTTATTCCCAATCTATTAAATTTATCTACTAAAAACTTCCAATACAACTATAGACATTATACAAAACACAAACCTACACACAGTTATTTTAAGTGGAAGACATGGAAGTTGTGTATATATCGCAGTGTCTGGATTTCTTTAAACTTCTGAGGGCATTCTTTAATTGATTACTTTGAAAAGTGCAAATATGGAAGGAACTGGAAATGAATTAAAACAGCAAAGTTGTAAAATGAATAACTATTGTTGATTTAAAACAAGTAAGTAAAATTTAATAGACAGCCTTGAAAATTAATTTAATTCCTTCCATTTTTAACTATCTTCCTCCATATTTATTTAAATTTGTTTGCATTTGGAGATTTTTTTCCATCTATGCTTGACCATTTCACTTCCTTTCTGTTTATCATCTGCAATCCATCTTTCATATAACCTCGCCCCCTATCTTCCTACATGTTCAATCAAAATAAGATTTTCAGCAATTTTCAACTAAAAGTTGTTTTGGTATAATTAGTAACTGGTTAATCCATTTTTTAATTTGAAATCACCTCACATCTCCAAGACCCCACCCACATACATACAAAAAATATTAAAATATTAAAGTTTATATTCTAAAGAAACTCATATTTTTTTCATAAACAAATACATTTTTCCCATATTTAAAAAAAACCCAACTTTTGACATATCTAATCGCTGTTAAATTGGAACATTAATTTCTACAATATACATGGTTTTCAATACATTCTGATTGTAATCTTAAATTACACTGTAACAAATCGTTAAAAGACAGCTTTCTTCTTATAGCAAATCAATGGAACCTGTAAACGTTGCTATTATGGTCTATGCAATGACAAGGACTAAAATTACACCCTAGGGCTTAACAAGCACTTTGTAAAATTGAACAGTTATCTACAAACTGTGTTTAAAGTAATTGATAAGTGGATTTTGAAAGACCCTTGGGAGAGGAAAGGGAACAATATTTCCCCCCTTTAAAGTCAAGCAAAAATTATCTCAAGCCTCTGATATTACCTAACAGCTGTATTTAAAGCATGATGTTGAATTTACTTGACTGCTGGAAGATTGGCCAGCAGGGTTCTCGGTTTCCTCTTGTTTTAAGTTATCTACTATAAACATATAATACCAAACCAGTCGATTAGAACAGTTTTCTAGTTTTGCATGACTTGGCATAAAACCTATTCTTCAACAGAAGGTTCGCATCAAATGCTAAAGGCATTTCAACATTTTATGCGATGAATAATTTTTTTTATCTTGATAGTAAACAGTGCAATCATGCAGACCATATGAATTAACACGTTCATTACAGTTCATAAAAATTTGTTTCCGTTTTTTCAAATGTTGACACCTTTCAGCAACTAGAAAATTACACAGCATTTCAAGTAATAAAGTAAAATTGAGGAGTTTCACACCTACAGTTACCACTTGTACCTGGACTATGTACAATTGTGACCAGGCAACGCATGATGAGGCAAAATACAGATATGATTGACACCTATCACTGCTACTGGTCTTACTCATGATTGACATAAGCTTTGATTTAAAGAAGACAGTTGTCGTCATAAAGTATACAGGTTTGAAACTGACAGTGTCATG